TTTTTAAGCTCTTCCTTTGAGCATGGTCTCTTTCTCTTTTGGGGGGAAAATGGCAAAATAATTGTGTCCCTGACTTCTCTCCTTGTGCTGCTAACCTGAGTGAGGGGAAAGCTTGACCCTAGGAAAGAACTGGCCATGTCCTCATGATCAATACTCACCTAATGTCTGATGCCTGCTTGCTGTTCTTCACCCAATAACTCCACTACATCATCTGCTCATATCTCCATGATCTTAAAGCCGGGTGACAGGAAATACAAAAGGAAGTCATTAGAACAAAAACACAGAGCAAAAAAATGAATTGTAACTGTGATTATCAAATGGCAATTTTTAGTTCTTTGCTTTGATCAAGAGAAAAGAATGGATAATTGAAATTCTCCACATAAGCACACACATGCAAAAGCAAAAACACACGCACTGACAAACAGGGGAACTGGGTGTTGAATTTTTCTCTCCTTCCTTTCCCCCTGGTAACTCACATCTAAAATTATGCCTTACTTGAAGAAAATTGAAATTGAAAATGTGGAACATTTAGCAGGAGGGTTCCCTTATAACCAATTACACACAAGAATCAGAATACAGCCTCCTGGAGGCTGAGGAGTTATTTTCAGATAAAATAAATAACAGGAGGTTGAAGATGTATGATTAATTGAGAGTCGTGTTTTTTTTTTTTTTTTTGTGAAAATTAATTAAGCTTACCCATAAAAATAATGCATGCACTGTTCACTGCTTTTCGGCGGTGGAATTCTTTTTAAGGCTTGATGTCTTGACCAAATCATGCATGTTGAAATGACAAGGATGAAAGGATGGAGACAAACAGCACAACGGCGCACACACTCTGCTTGTGTGTAAGTGTAGTGTCCTGTGTGTATATTTAACCTATGAACTTTTCTTGTGTGGTGCATAAATGAGATGTGATTTGTGTGGGTGGACTAAAAACAAAAAAAAACGAATTTCCATAAAATATCCAAGTAACTGCTGTTGTATCTTATTCATGCTGTTGTCACACTTGGCCTGTGGCTCCCCACTTCATACACTGTAAATATATTCTGAGTGGTATCAAAGGTCTGGGCAAGAAACACATAGGCTACATTTAAAATGCTGCTGGCTCAAATTCATGGTTGGATGTCAGTTAATGTGTCTTTTATTACATGCACTTACATTCTTTTTTTTCATAAGCCTGCCTGCACCTGCGGCCAAGAGACCATGGGAGGATTATGAGACATATTATGTATCAGCGTGTACTGTAATTTATTTGATTGTGTCTTATTCATAGCTGCACAGGGACAGTGTGTGTATTGAATTTTCTATGTAAATGCTTATTTGTCAGAGTGATTCTCATAATATTTCAAAGTCTGTTGTATTTAATGTGTGCTATCTAGTGTGTGTGTGTGTTGTTCTGTCTATTGTATTGTAGCTTATTTTTAAACATGAATATGGGTTATTATTTACAATGATTCTTCACTATTGAAGGACTGCACACCCAATTATTTTTACTCACGCCTACACTCAGGACAAGGATGCCTAATCCCCCATTCTTTATTTTGGCGGGGGGTGGGTCCAAATCACATGTAAGGAATATTATTTTTTATAATTCAAGTTTAGCACTAAAACATACAAAGGGGAACTACCATTCAATGTTGCTGTATTTAAGTTTAAAGGTGAGCTACTTTAGTACTTACTTTAGTGTTTCCTTTTTACTCCACTACATTTATTTGATGGCTTTAGTTACTAGATTGAGGTTTTATATAGAAAAAACATATGATGATCTTAAAATAAAATATAATGCATTGGATTAAAGAACCCTACAGTATATAACATAGTTTAAATTGGCTCCATCTTGAACATCTACTACCTTAAAATGCCACTTACACATTGACGTGCATCTCCTTAATATGTTTTATGTGACGGCCAGAAAGAAGCTCACAAGGACCTGGAAACAGCCAAACCCTCCACAACTAAAATCCATGATCCTCGACAATTGAACAAACTTTGGACATGGAAAAATCAACCTTTCCAATTGGAGATCATACAAGAAAATGCAATAATATACAACGCAAAGATAGAATCCATAAAATATCATATTACTTCAGTCTAGCCCAGGTCTTGCGATAAACAGGTACTGTCTATCCCCAATCCCAATCCTCTTTCCACTACTCTAACCCATCACTGTTTTTTATGTTTCTTTCATCCATGTCTTTTCTTTTAATTGATTTCATATTGATTAGTGGACTTTGTTTTTTATTTCTTGTGTTATTCTGTGCAATTTAATCATTTAATTTGTATAAAAAAGAGGGTTAGGTATGTACGTATGTATGTATGTATGTATGTATGTATGTATGCGTATATATGTGTTTGTATATGTGCAATGAAATAAAAAAATATCAAATATATAAATTATGTTATTTTATTGTTCTACATAGGTACATTTTCCATGACGTTTTTTCCACGACTGTATGATTGAATATTTTTGCGAATATTTTTACTGATTCTTTTACTTAGGTAAAGAATCTGCATAGTTCTGTCTAGAATGCATTAAATATTTCAACATCTTAACACTTCAGAGGACTCTGAGAAGGACATTTAAGGCTTTTTTAGTTATGCCAGACAACACGCAACCTTGGACTGATGAGAAATAACATCAGATGGTCCAGCTATGGGGCCCCTGGACCTGTGATGTGTCCTAAAGCTAAAAGCTAAACATGTAGCCTGCGGTATCTCCCTCTCACCCATCTCTCTCCCTGTTCACCTCTCTCACAGTCCGGCAGTTCACACTTTGCAGGGCAGCAGAGACTGTGGCAAACAGGCCTGCCGTAATGCATTTGTGATCACTGTAATTTCTCAGGAAAAAAAAGCAGAAATCATCCACTGTCGCAAAAGACACGAAAAGTTCATACTGCATAGGGATTGGAAAGTTACAGTGTTAAAATGTCCTATTGTGCTCTGAAATTAGGATGGATCGAAAAGTTAAAAGCTTTTGTTAAATGCCAAACACAACTGTCTGAGTAAAAAAGATGGACGAAATGGTAAAACAATGTATTTCTATTTGCTCTCCATGCTTTGAATAACCTTTTCTAAGTGCCTTTTATATAGGAGTTTTATCAAGTCAATGAATTTGCTCTATACTTCTCATCCAGATGTCCTTTAATGCAAATGCTCTTTTAGACATTTCTGTTCGTTATAATGATGATAATAATGGCAATTCTAGACTTTGCACTCTGTTCAGCTCCATTATTAACTGTTCCAAAACAGGGTGTTAGAGAGCTCTACTCTCTCTATCTTTTTTCCTCACATTTTTTTTAATATTGTACCTAAGACCTGTTGTTGCAGAAAGTCACTGCTTGCACTGGTTGCATCTTTTTTTTTTTTTTTTTAACCATCCCTTATTTTTCCTGACTGCTGAAAAGAGAACAATTTGAAGTTTTCGAGTAACTCCATGTTGGGGTAGGGTGATAGTGCCAAAAGCATGCAGTTAAGAGCAAGATTTTTGTGCTGTTTCACCTGGAGAAAGAGATGTGAACAAGAGCGGGAAGAATAGACACTGTCCACTTTGGGCAGTAAAAAGCACGGATGATAAAAATGATCTTAAATAAGCACTGTGTCTTCTGGCAGATTGGCTAAAAAGTATATAAAAACACTCAGACTCCCCATCTCTTCTCTACTTCAGGGGCTGATGCTAAAAGCTGAGGCGAGGGTCCTGTCTGGTGAGCGGTTTATTAGGTATTTATTAGAAAATAACAGAAGAACAACCAGAGGATAGTACATAGTTTCTATTTTGAATTACCCCTGTGTGGGTTATTGTTGTAGCCCAGGACGTGCACACACATATATGCATGCACACGAATTTGAGGCACAGGCTCGACACACAGACACAAACTTTATGCAAAGACACACACACACACACACACACACACACACACACACACACACACACACACACACACACACACACACACACACACACACAGACATCTACATCTTGAAGCACAGGTTTAATCAGGCATAGTTGAAAAGGAAAATGCCATTAGATTTTAAAGTGGATAATTTCACATCCTTCCTTCATTCATTTCTTCATTTTTCTTTTCAAATCGGCCTTTTATGCCCACTACATGTGCTTTTATGGAAAATTACAACATTTAAGCCAGACTCTTTGGTCAGGGATAATTGCACAAAGAACCATTAGCAGTCTTCCAAGACCAATGTACTATGAGCATTTTTCTTTTTCTTTTTATAATGCTATTCTCAATCTGTAAGAACATGCCTCATAAGAAAGAGGATAATTATAATTTAATTATCTGTCATTATGTGGAGCAAAACGCAGGTCACCTCGGGTTCACTTATGCTACATGCTGTTATAAACAAATCAATTACATGAAATAGGCAAAACAAACAAGACAGTTACATACACTGTAGATACAGTGGCCAAAGGTCTGTTGTTTTCCCCTGCCAATTCAGTTGAAGCGATTATAATCATGTTCAAAGTTTGCTGGCGCACTTGTGCTCCTCACCTGCAAACCCACCTACTGATCAGTAAATTGGCACTTCAGTGAAATCAGCAGGTGTATGTTTGGCTCATGTGTGGCCACTATAAGGTTTGACTCAAATTACAGTCCACAGCAATTACCTACTTAAAATTGTGTTCAGTTAAATATTGCACTGGGATGTTCAGAAATATATTCAAAGTCAATTAATTAAATATAATGTTGCCTATAGCTTCTAATGTTTTTGGAATAATCAAAAATACATACATTACTTTATCTCAACACTGTTCTAACATAAGTCTCGTGTTATACTACACTGTGACCATTCAGTCCTTCGATGCCATTATCTGTCAGCTCAATCAGGACCGACGGTGCACATTGCTGTGTGTACATTTAGATGAGTTTTAAACAGCCTCACAAATCCATTTGATACAACGGCGACCGGTTGCAATCCCGTTTCCGGCCTGAGGAGAAGGTGGTGGCGCTGTGAGCAGCATTGAGCCACACTTCACACCAGCTTCCTCTTCTTCTTGTGCGGTTCCTCCACGGCTCTCCCACAACAAACATTGCGGCTCTTGGTCCCTTCTGTGCTTCAGACAGTCGGACATTTGGAGAAATGTGAGAGGTCACAGTAACTTTTCCACTCTGTGCTATAAATGAAGCGGGAGGTTTCGACCTAGCCACCGGCAGCTAGCGTTAACTGGAAGTTGTCGAGCTCGTCAGCACAACTTCACTGCCGCTGCTAACACAAGCTGAACTCGGGCGACCCAGAAAGCCTCCCAGTATCACACTGCTTAGCTTTTAAAAGTGAGTAACAGCGTACTGTGTTAAATGTCTAGTGATTTAAGTTGATTAACGGTTGCTGCTGTTTCTTTGTCGACTTGGCTGAGCTAACTGACACACGTTACTTTCAGAGGGCTCACAAACCAACCAGACAGGTAACATAAGGTTAGCTGGACTCCCAACCGGCTGTGGATTTACATATCTTCACACATATCTCCAGAAAGAGCACTGCACTGCTCAGTCCGTGAAAACCGCGGTGTAATGTGGGTAGCTGAGGCTCTGGAGGAGGTTTCTGAAGTCTCAAAAAAATAACCCTGATGATGTCATCAGGGTTATGGACTTCCTGCTTTCATGTGATGTCACAGTAATGGTCCATGCCCACAGAGGTGATTTTGGACGCTTTAAGTCACATTGACCAATAAAAGGCCGCTACAACCTCGCAAACACTTCCTGGCTGCACCTAATTGGACGAACACTTTCTGCTCCGGGATTTTTAAACCGGACCAACATGGCGGCTAGTTTGTGAACGTTCTCTTATAGTACAAAAATAGTTAAGCAGATTTTGTTTCTGAAAACATTACAGGCAAGAATTAAGTCATGCAGTTGCTGAGTCTGTCTTCATTTTAGATTGACAGCAGTTTTTTGGGAGTTTGCAGAGGTGGCGAGTCGTGCTGCCGGACGCCCCTCAACCAGCAGGAGAAGCCAATGTGACGCTCCTCCACTGCGCTACCAGAATAAACTGCATGGCTGCGCACATAGTCACTGAATGGAAAGCATGGAAATGACTGATCCTGTACCCTCATTGGAAAAATGAGGTCCCAACTGTGAAAATTCACTTGAACGCCCCAAAATGGGAACAAGAACTGGGAGAGTTAGCGAACATTTTGGCACACTGCTTGCTGAGCTGTCGTCATATAATGCTGAAACACAGCAGACGAAAGAATTTGCTCGATTCCACCAGGACCAGATGTGAAACATTCCAGCTGTGACGCGGCCAGCCAGAGCTGATTGCAGCACTTTGTTTTCTCACTTTCTCCAGCAAATGTACCGTATATACTATATCGTATATATACATATATATATATATATATATATATATAAAAATACGATACAAAGATGTGAAGATTCAAAAGGGTGGGATGAAAAATTAATGATATTCTTTTTAAACAGTAGGGGGCGCTATACACGTTTTATGTTGCTTGTTCGAGTCCTACGTCACTCATGTCGGTAGCCGTGTCAAGGCGCAAAGACACCAGTTTCACTTTTACAAAGAAAAGGAAATATGCATTGTTTTGCAATATATACCCTACCTCAGAGACCAAAAAGCATTCTATAATTTGATAAAGAAAAATAACGGCATAGAGAATCCAGTCACTTTTCAAAATAAAACTCAATGGGCAGACCCCAGATTGGAAGCCATTCATGTCACTGTCTCCTATCAGAAGTAGCAGCCAATGCTCTACAAAAAGCTGTAAAAACAAAACTGTTGTCGTTTTAATAAAGAAGTCGGGCACTAATTTGCCTTTTTCCACCATTCTGTGAACAACCACGCCGCACATGGCATGAATCTGTGAACAGTGAAAGGAGTTTGTTACCTCGCTGAAACCTTGAAGCATATCGCCTGCAGCTCTTCATCCAACTGTGGCTGCTCCTCCTTGTTCCTTGACTCAATACCCTGCAATATTTCAGCATTTTGGATGAACAATAGCGGTCAGTGTCAAACTCATTGACAAACACACTGCATTTCCGGTCACTACTACTTCATAATAAAAGTCAACTCGTGTTTCAGCAGTTAAATACTTTTTGTACAGTGAAGCTGCAGCAGTAACTTACTACTGCATTTCCCCCGGCACAGACACCCAGTTCGTAATACTGAGAATATAGAAATGTTGAAGAATGTAGAAATTCTTACATCAGTGGGCCACAGGTTCATGCACCATTGTGTCACTTGGCGATAGATAGTGACTTAACAGACGTTTATTCAAATTAAATTCTGCGAGATTATAACTTTAAACATGAAAGAAGCAAGCACCTCTTTACATTTGTAACTAAATAGCAAATATTTTGTAGTTTTACTTGATCACTGAAAAGTATTACTGTCTTTTTATCAAGTGATGGATTGCTCAACTGATGATTTCAGCACTAAAGATTCAAACAGAGCACTGACCTGTTATGTTTCTCCCCTCTCTCTTTCTCTAGAGAACACAAGTAACCGGACTGTACTTGTCATGTAGTCGTTTCACTGCACTGGCCTCCTGTCTAACTACCTTCCGAGGAGGGGTTTGAGATCTTTCTCCAGTCACAGCAATGGATGAGGACACCCCAACCCTGAAGCCCAGACGGATCCAAAATCAAAACGTCGTTCATCGTCTTGAGAGGCGCAGGATCTGTTCGGGCCGGCCCGGAGCTCACTGGTACAGAGTGCGTTGCTTCCACCAGAACCTTTTCCCCAACTTCACTGTGGTCAACGTGGAGAAGCCCCCTTGCTTCCTAAGGAAGTTCTCACCAGATGGACGCTGCTTCATCGCCTTCTCTTCTGACCAGACTTCTCTGGAGGTAAGAAAAGAAAACCCCAACTGTTAGCCTAGTTTTCCCTCATAGTTCCCCTCCTTAAAGTCCCTAAATACCACACACTGTGTGATTTTTATCTCCCAACTGTCAAAAGCAACTGGCCCAGACTGTAAAAGACTTGGTCCATCCAACTACCCAATTTACCCGTCTACCAATCCCAATGTTCCTCCTGCAGATATACGAATACCAAGGCTGCCAGGCGGCTCAGGACCTGCTGAGAGGTCAAGAGGGAGAGACTCTTCTAACGGCCAATGATCAGCGTTCTCTCAACATCCGAGGCCGCCTGTTTGAGCGCTTCTTCTCCTTGCTCCATGTCACTAATGTGGCCTCAAACGGAGAACACCTCAACCGGGAGTGCAGCCTCTTCACAGACGACTGCCGCTATGTCATTGTCGGGTCGGCTGTGTACGTTCCAGAGGAGCCGCCGCCTTATTTCTTTGAGGTAACAACACCACCAAACTTACTATAGATGTACAAGGCAGCTCAAAAACTACACATTTACTACAAAAGTTCTGCCGTAGTTTGGCTCAGACTGCCCCTTTTAATCTATATTTCATCTCCCACCAGGTGTATCGAAACAATGAATCTGTGACTCCCAACCCCCGGTCTCCTCTAGAAGACTACTCCCTCCACATTATTGACCTCCACACTGGCAGGCTGTGCGACACTAGGTCCTTCAAGTGTGACAAGATCATCCTGTCCCACAACCAAGGCCTCTACCTCTACAGGAACATCCTGGCTGTGCTGTCGGTCCAGCAGCAGACCATACACGTGTTTCAGGTGAGCAGATTCACCATTTAAAACCTAAATCCGCACTAAATGGCTTCAGTGATTTAAAACTTTAATGCGTGTGACACACCAATGAGTATTGTTATAGCAGGCAGATATATAGATATCAGATATAACAGCTATTAACCCATAGACAGCAGTGCAGCAGCAGCTTTTATGCCCTGTACCATTCAATTTGGACTACTTTTGAAGAATAAGATTTATGCTCAGATGTGAGAGATAACGTATCTGACGTGACTCCCAGTTCGCTACCCAGTGATAGGGTTTGAAACATTTTTCTCCATTTTCTATTTGTGTTTTTATCTTCCCTCATCTCTCTTTTTCCTCCCCCCTTTACCAGGTCACTCCAGAGGGAACGTTCCTAGATGTAAGGACTATTGGGCGCTTCTGTTATGAGGACGATCTCCTGACTCTTTCAGCAGTTTACACTGAGGCTCAGGCTGAGAGTCAGCCGGGCTTCCCTCGCCTGTACACTGACAAAACCATCAACTCCCTCAAGCACAGGCTGCTGGTCTACCTCTGGAGGAGGGCTGAGCAGGACGGCAGCGCCACCGCCAAGAGGAGGTATATAACGTTCTCTCATTTGTTTTTATTGTTCTCTTACTTTCATCCATCTATTTTTATTGCCACTCACCCAGGTCTGCTAAAACATGTTTGTATTTCAGTACAGTAGAGTCCGAGGAGAGGAGAAATGCAGAGCAGGAGTAGTTGTTTTGCTCTGCATTTTTTCCGGGTGGTTATTCATTTTAGGGCTGCATGATTTTGTAAAAAAATCAACACTGCGACTGACGATGATTCACGATTAGTGGGTAATGATCATATTTTGCAAGCTATTAAAATCATGATGATGTGACATTTGTTGGGGGTCTGTAGTAACAAACATACAAGTTTTCTTACATCTGGGGAACAAGGTTAGGTTTGTCATAGCAACTTGGTTGGGATAAAAAAGGAAACAAACAGGGGCCTTTCCTTTGGTCTTGAGAAGCTGCAGCCTTTATTCACTGACAGACTGTAACCTACATTGGGCATTTATTGCCAGATTGACAACTTGCTCTCTCTTCCTTTTACTCATTCACACACTAACTACACACACAAAAATGAGCTGCTACAGTTATAACCGAGGATATGAAGGGATGAGGATTGATATGTCTGCCCTTAAAAGCAGATAAAAAATATTGTGGTCGCTATTGATGCTAACTTGGCTATTTTAACATGCGGGGTCGCATAACCAGTCAGTGGTCTGGTTGTTTTCACGTCACCTTTTAGTATAAGCTCAACCGAGGCAGTACCAAAATAAGTTCCAGGTACGAGCCATGATGGAAGACCAAAAAGGAGCGAGTCGAGCCATACCATGCAGTGGAAAAGCACATTTAGTCCCTGGCTCTTGTGTTCAAAATGCAGGCTTAGGTCCATAGTTCCTCAAAAGGTTCTTGGTCCCCTGAGAAAGTTCCTGCTGTGAATGTGAACAATTACTATAAACATAGTAAAAACAAATATAGTACTGTACAATGTGTTGATTACTAAAGTAAACAAGCTTAACTATCATGCCAATAGGACATTAGAATCCAAAATAAATTTCATAAAATCTAAAACAAAAAGTATACGAATCATATCACTATAACTGACAATTGATGTTATAATTAGCATTGTTTTGTGATCTCCTAAACAGTTAATTGGCTAATAAATATTTAGTTTTAGAAAACAAGCCTAGGTAGAAACCTAGAGTAGTTTTATTGTTGGACCAGGTTTATTTTTTTCTCTGGCATCCACAGAACATTATAATAGTTCATTACAGTACAACTGAGAATACAACTGCCACAAATACTGATAAAAACAAAACACTGAAATTAAGAAGTAAAGTAATGCTTCAGGTTTCTACATCACACTGTACAAGTTGCATACTGGACCTATTTGTGATGTCACAAATCATGCTGGTAGGCCCCGCCCCTTAAAATCAGATGTTCAGTGAGCACAGAGAAACTTTCCACTTTCAGCAGATGAATGTGAAAACATCCTTCCAGTGTCAAACTGTGCACAGACAGCATTCACACAGCACACTGTAGGGACAAAAATAATCAATGAATTTGAGTGAAGGTGGATTTGAAAATCCTTCTGAAGGCCAATGAGGAAAGTCCCAACACTCGACCATACAAGTGGTGTGTGACAGACTTTTGTGTTTATAGGGTTGGCCACGCTTTGTTGCAGTCTAGTCAGATATTTACAGTTTGGCACACTGCTGTAAAGGTGAATAAAACGTCAACCGCAAAAAAACAGCTCTTCAGCCTATCATGTATCATTTCCACATTGTACTGATATTAGATATTCATGTACTGATATCTTTGGCTCATCCAGCTCTTGGTTTTGTCGTCAGGTTCTTCCAGTTTTTTGATCAGCTGAGGAGGTTGAGGATGTGGAAGATGCAGTTGTTGGATGAGCATCACCTCTTCATTAAATACACCAGCGAAGACGTGGTCACACTCAGAGTCACCGACCCCTCGCAGGTAGACACACACACACACACACACACACACACACACACACACACACACACCTGAATTCCTCCCTGTGTTCTCTGTGCTGCTCCCCCCTGCCTCTCTAGTGTCTTTTGTCGTTTGTGCTGCATAACAGGGATTCCTCTTTCAGGTCTCCAAGGACACGTTGCTCCTACAGATCCTGTTCAGTCCTGTCATTCATTCATAACAAGAATAAGTAGATCTAATTAATGTGTTTTATTTACATGAAATCTCACCTCTGACATCCTTGCCGATCAGCTAATTGAATTTTAGCAATATAGAATATACAATCTCGTGTTCATTATAAATATTTATAATGAAGGATTAGTGTTTCACTGTAATAAATATCTCACTGTTACTGACTGTCCTTGGTTTTTCCTTTGTTGTGTTGTGTAAACATACCTTTAAGAAAAAAATAGTACAAAACCAGTCTGTGTGTCTATTCTTCAAACCTTCATCCCTCCTCCCTTGTTTTCTCTCTCAGCCGTCGTTCTTCGTTGTGTACAACATGGTGTCTACAGAGGTGCTGGCCGTCTTTGAGAACACCTCTGACCAGCTGCTAGAGCTGTTTGAGAATTTCTGCGACCTGTTCAGAAACGCTACGCTACACAGCCAGGCCGTCCAGTTCCCCTGCTCCGCTTCATCCAACAACTACGCGCGGCAGGTCCAGAGAAGGTACAGAGGTGACAAATGTCCTGTTATTGAACTGAAACACCGAATATTGAAACTTGAATATACTTCAGTTTGGATATAGTTGTGCTGGCAAGCTGCTGGGTCCGCGGGTCTTTCCTGATGATAGAAAAAACTGCACTTGATAGTGTGCACCCAAATGTCAGGAAGGATTTGAAGACGTTGGTTAGGAAGGGAACCAGATCAGCAGCAATCGCCTGGAGGAAGAGGAAGACGTTTTAGGGCTTAATATGGATGTAGAAGAGACATTAAGACAGTCAGCACAGCTGGGGGAGCTGTGATTGAATTTGGTGGTTCGACTTGCCAGCGTAGGTGACAAAATCCTGTGGAAGGTGAAGAGGGAGTACCAGACAGAGGGGGGGATTGAAGAAGGAGGAGAAGATAAAGGACAGTTTGAGCGAGGAAAAGAGCTTATAACAGGATTTTAGAGTGGTGAAAATTGATGTCTGGAAGAAGGAGAGGAGAAATTGAAAGCTGCCGAGCACATTCAGCAAACCAGATTTGTACCACTTACCAACTGGCTAGCAGAAGCCCAGTTCATAGGGTGTTAGGCAGCCACAAACCAAGTATATAGAGAGACAGGCAGGTCTGCAAGAGTGGAGCACAAAACAAGTTGAGAGGGAGGACTGAAAATATGGATGGAGAGCTTAAAGGTTTGAAGAGGAAGGAGAGAATGGAGGAGGGAATGTGAGACAACAGAGTGTGTAGTGCGACTGTAATTTAGCCAGGTATGTTTGGAAGAAGTGGCTTAGAATTCCAACCTAATTCAGACATTCATTGCGTCAGATAGAGGCTTTGAGCCGTAATTCTCCAAACCAAAACAAGTATAGTGTAAACTCACTTCTTTCTCAACTTCAAACCGAACTAAGAGGTGTAATGCTTAACCACTAATGAAGATTCCTGTTGCTGTTTATTGTCATCGTGCTGATATCCCTGTCTGTCTGCGCTTCAGATTCAAAGACACCATAGTGAACGCCAAATACGGCGGGCACACGGAGGCGGTGCGTCGGCTGCTGGGTCAGCTGCCCATCAGTGCCCAGTCCTACAGCAGCAGTCCCTACCTCGACCTCTCCCTCTTCAGTTATGATGACAAGTGGGTGTCGGTGATGGAGAGACCCAAGACCTGCGGAGACCACCCCATCAGGTACGAACCATATCAGGATGAATGAGTGTCTTATCACAAAATCACAGTATCATCATTACAGACCTTGAAATGAGGTTAGGGTCAGGTCGCTAGCCGCTGACAAGCTAGCGTAAGGCATTTGAATCGCAGCACAGTGTGAAAGGCTGTAATAAAAGTTGTTTTATCAAATAGATAATTAACTGAAAATCAGTTGGCAACTGTTTTGATTATTGACTAATTAGGTTATTTATCAAGCAGAGATGGCAAACATTCACTGGTGTTTTTACTTTCCTCTTTTTTGTATAGTTGTAACTGGAATATGTAAATTGAATACAAAAAGATTCACTTTTCTCAACAACCGTTCATCCGATTGACTTTACACTTAGTGGGTGTATTTCTGGGGCCCCAAGGAAGCGTGGTGTCTTTTTTGATTTGATTTTTTGATTTGATGCAATTTGGACACACAACACATTCAATATTAATAAACTTTGAATAAACAGCACTCAGCAGCAGCGGGGCGGGCTTTCAGTGCAGCACCTCTCCTGCCAGCTGCTGACAGTGCTGTCAGCTGAAGAGTCGATCACACAGCAAGGTAGAGGAGGAGACAAACATATGTCTGGTAGTTGTTCTGAATGGTTGGAATTCTGTAATATTATCAGCCATATTCACTATCAAAAAAAAGTCTAGCGTTAACTCTGATAAATGGAATATAATATGCATAACTACATTGTCATTAGTGTATAATCACCTCAATATAAGAACCATTATGTTTTGTTACCTTAGAATGAGCCTATCTACAGATGCTGAGGGTCCGTGAAGTCTGCCAATGTTGAACCGCCATCTTTCTACAGTAGCCCATATGAGACAAACCAACTCTCAGACACTCAGTTGTGTTTTGTAAGCCTGTGTGGGCTTAGCACCTTTGGGTGTATGAAACACAAAATATTGATACATTCATTTGTGTCACAGCACACAGTTACGAAGTGCAGCATTTTGTAGCAACATGAGCAACACACTTCTCTGGTCAGAGTAAATGGCAACATGGATCTCTGTCATATAGGAGCAGAGGCCTCCACAAAACAACACTATACGAAGAATTTACCAGTACTACTTTCACTGTATCCCTCCCTCTCTCACCCGCCAGGTTTTACGCACGGGACTCCGGCCTGCTGAAGTTTAAGATCCAGGCAGGACTGCTGGGACGGCCGGTAAATCACGCCGTGCGTCGCCTGGTCGCCTTCACTTTCCACCCCTTCGAACCCTTTGCCATCTCCGTCCAGCGCACCAATGCAGAGTATGTGGTCAACTTCCACATGAGGCACGTTTGTGCGTAAGGAGCTTGTGTGTCTATGTGTGACAATACAACAAACATGTCCTCCATCAGGAGGCACAAAACAGTTTGTTCTGTTAGCCGCCCTCTCCTCCTCCCAGAGAAATCAGCAGTCCTCTCCCTGCATTCTCCTTCTGATGGAAACCACTGTTCCTCTCCTCCTTTTTCCCCTCCATCACACAGTGGTCACTCCACTTCCGCCCCTCCTCCCCCTCCACGAGAAGGCAGCAATTCTGCCTTTTCCTTTCATCTGCACCGCCTCGCCTCCTCTTTCCCCCTTCCTCCACAGAACAAAGAGGGACCTGTAGGGAGGAGAGGCTGGAATAAGTGTAAATGGAGATGTAGAGAGAGTGATTGATGTGCGACGGAGGTGGGAGCTGCAGGTAGCTGGACCTCTTAGAAGGAACCAGAGGTGTTTTCTTTTTCCTACTGTGCACTGAAAGCTGCACATTCATATCAGAATTGCTTATCCAGTTGGTCCAGGACCAGCTGTCCAACAAACTTCCTTTTTTCTCACATAAATGGGGAAAGAGGGAATTTTATATTATATTGTTTTTACACTTTTTTTTAAAACATACTACCGCCTGTATATATTTTATGCCAATAAAATTGTCTAAATTTTTCTTGTTTTTTTTTTTTTTTTGCAGACAGTAAAGGGAGCTTTTTTTGTTGTTTTTTGCATTTTAAAGTATGTAGCAGTAGCTATGGTTCATTATTAGTCAGCCCTCATCTATATACTAAATAGAGGTGTGTGTGTGTGTGTGTGTGTGTGTGTGTGTGTGTGTGTGTGTGTGAGCAGGCATGGTTGTGTTTTTTTATGCAAATGTGAGTGGGAAAGCATTGGAGTAGAAAAAACTATTTCAAACATGTTTTGTCGTACAGCAGATTCAGTACTTTTCCTATCTCACCTCGCCTATAAGATAGTCTGATCATGATTTTTCTTAACTAGCAGTACAGACAGTGGATAGTAGTCCTAAAAAACATCTTAATGCCACAGAGCTTTATGGTGAACCTGAAATTATGTTCACACAAGTTTCTACTGCATAAGGAGTGGACAATATACAGTGTGACTGTCCTATTTAAACTGACTACTGATCACTGCAGTATATACAATCATAATGTTGCTATTTTATATCAGGTCCATCTGTTCTGCAGACTAAAGCCCTGGACATCTGTTTACACATCAGATGTGTTATTAAAAACACACAAACATGCAGATATGAACAAATATGCAAATGGTATAACACCCCCAGTCCCAACATGAATGCAAAGTGACTAATACATGAACAGCCACATGTATGATAAACAGATATAAAAGGCAAAAAGCACACGCCCAAGCAATTGCAAGAGGTCATGGTGGTATGGAAAGCAGGTGCTGAGGGATTAAGTGTCCTCCTAGCCTCTGGTTACACACTACAGTGGACCTGGGAGGTGAGTGTGTGAGTGAGAGAGAGACTAACAGAGGTTTTTGGCAGAGGGAAGAAGGTATTTACGGATGGAGAGATGAAAAACAGGACAAAGGGAGGTAGAGATGTGGGGATCGATGGGTTGTGAGTGCAACGACTATTACGCAGCTGCTTAGTTTTGCATAAGCACAATAAATACTATCTTGTAGATCAAGGCTTAAGGAAGCCATGTTATGTCATTGTCATTGTGGTGTGTTTGTGTAAGCTGGTGTGTGACAACATGCTGTGATAATCAACTAATTACAGGAAGCGCACACAGCAGGCACAGACAGGCCTACATATAGGAGGACACATTGTCTGTTGACTTCTCTCTGCAAACTGACAGCCTATAGAAAATATAAAAACTGTACGTCTGAGTGCTGGTGAGGAGGTGAGGTAATTCTTCTCATAGGTTCATGGTTCTGTGTTGATTCCAAGACATATTTGAGCTGTTTTTACCCAATCTGGTTGATACATATTACATTTTCTACAGGAAATGTAAGCCTTACCTTTCCTTACATTATCAACTTACTCACAGATGTTTAAAAGCCAGTAAGTAGAGTAAGTAACTGTGGCGTTAGACTCACTGCTGGAGTCCTCAATGCAAACACAGGTAGTAGATTACTACACGAACCCAACGCCTCCTAGTACAATAACAAATATGTTATATTTGTCTTATTCTGAAGAATCAGGTAAACCCAGAGCCTTCTCCCTGACCTTGGTTGCTACGGAAACATAACCGCTCTCTGCTTGGTAACCAAGTCTTTTCTAATTGCTGTTGTCTTGGCAACAGCGCAACCAATGTAATCCAGAAAAGGCCACAATCCTAAGTGTTTCCTGTTGCAGTGCTCGTCTTCTCGGAGCAGCCTCTAACCACACACGGACACATTTAATCATTTAGGCAACAGTCAGCTGCAGCTATCCGGCAACTGTGGTACACGGTGTGAGGTTGTGTAGAGTAGCTCAGCTAATTGAAAAATCTGAATTATGATTTGATTAAAGATATATGTCCACATATTGAGTCAACTGTCACACCTGAATACAACAGGGTGCGAATGAAAGTAAAAGCCTGTTAGCGCGCGAGCAGATTAGTCTAAACCAGGGGTCTCAAACTGCCAGTCTGGCCCTCCAGCCCCCAACGTGATGTCAAAAATAGAATACAATCTGGCTCGCAAGATTGTTATTTTATTATTTTTTCTAGTTATTTCATGTAAATTGAAACTACCCCTTCATATACAATTAAAGTAAAAACACTATTTAAAAAAATGCATTTTGTTTGGCACAAATTAATGGCAAATGTGCGCTAACAGTTGAGAACAGGATTCGGCCTTTATTTGTCGCTTGGCTGCGAACAACAGCGATGATATAAAAATGTACAGAGACTGCTGTTTGCCCTTTTTTGTTGAGAAATATTTTCAGAATACTACGCTTTCTTGCAGCACTTGAATGTTAAAGTGTGAGATGACAACACCAGCAATGGCCCGGAGCCAATTTGAGTTTGAGACCCCTGCTCTAAACAGTTAGCCAGAACGAGCCTGATCAATAACAGTTCAAAGTTAGTTAAAGTAGTGGATAGATGGTGCAACGTACAACTCCAACTGATCTGACCAAAACAAATGGAATATAATATTCATAGTTATGTTTTCATTAGTGTATAACCACCTGAAAATAGGAATCGTGCTTTTGTTACCTTAGAATGAACCGTTTTATCTACAGACGCTGTGGGTTGCCTTCCGTGGAGGCCGCCATGTTTGTTGAACAGCCATGTTTCTACAGTAGTCCAGAACAGCCACAAGCACCTGAAAAAGTGATACCATACATCCAAACACAAACTGCTCGTGAGTCCTGCACTGACACAGAGCAAAAATGTTTCCAAAAAGTTTCCTCACCAACAGGACTGCTCGTTACTGTGGGTTGAACATCATAGCATCACCAACAGTCCACTCCACTCTGATGGGTTTAAGAGCTTCACAAAGAGTAGAGCACCATGTGGTTCAAGTTTACTACTCAAACTGGTGAAAAATACAGACGGGATGGTGAAGGAAGAACAGATAATCGTATGGATACAAGGTAGTGGCTGCAAGAAGGTCAGAAAAGATCTACCTGGAGGTATTTCATTATCCCCTGACATATAAAAAGCAGCCAGAATGTCCACTGATGACTAAAGAGCCACAGTTTTATTTCTCTAAAGATGGCTGCCACATTCTTCTCTCTGTGTTTGCTGCCATTGTCTTTGGCTCCACTTTGTTCTAGTTGGAGAGCATTACGCCCGTCCATTGAGTAAACTCACTTTGTGATTATTTACATGTTTCACTGAGTCATATACAGTAGTTTGTTATTTTGTGATTTGATGAATAGATACCACAATTGATTTCAAAATATACAATATATACAGAGTATGTCACTTTGTTCCACCACTTCAGAAATAATGAGGCTCTCCAAGTACCACCGTTATGACCAACGTTTAAATACAGTAGCGTAGGCCGACCCTATTCAGCTACACACAGTCCACGCAGGACTATTCAATTTACCTCAGCTTACTATCTTGCCATCACATTCTAGCTCAAAACTTATCATGCAGGGGCGGATATAGAGAATATTCATGGGGGCCAGAGGGTGGCAGAAATATATTCTGATTTAATTGCAAACAATCACACATATCAATATTTGCTTTGCAAAGGTACCAAATAATTAAACTTAATCCTATCACTTAGTCTAAAATGTGTCCATAACAAACCATTTAATACGTTTTTTATTTCAACATATTATTTTTTAAATTAATCTAAATGAATGTGTTAAATTTTAAAATGTTTGACAGAAAAGGGTGGCCAAGCATTTTCTAGAGATGGCCACCCAATGCCACCCCTCTACATCCGCCCCTGTAATCATGGACGTATGCTTTTGTGCACCAACGTGACTAGGTAGCAGGCTGCTATTGAAACAAAATATTACAGGAAATACAAAACTTATTTACATTTCAGCGATCTCATAGTTTGCATATTTCATTCAAATTGTTTTATCATTTTGATAGTATTATATGTTTTTAAATTAATGTATTTCAATAAATATATATTTTGGATTCCTCAGCGTACCACTAGAGGGAGCTTGTACCACAGTTTGAGAACCAGTGGAGTAGACTAATAGTATCCTTCAACCAAACTGCTAGCTTGCTTTTAATCACAGTTAGAAATGCATCAATATATATGTATATGGACACATATACAGTAGAAACCTGCACATAAGATATAACCATAATAAAAAAGATATATATTTTTCACAGTTGCCCTTAATGGTAGAGTCTGGCCATGCAGCAGGTTTCAATGTTTTGCACGGAGAAGAAATATCCAAGGTAAATGTAATTTTGTTTGTGCTCCTCAAAGCACTGAAAAATACATTTGACAAACTGAGCAGCACCTCGCCTTTACTCTGGATAATCAACAGACCTTACTTTGTGCGGTCTCACTGGGACTATTTATTTGATATAAAGTAAGACCTGCTTCTTTTCACAGTGAGGTCTGTGGATTATTCAGAGTAACCACGACATTGTTCCCTGAAAGACAAGTTGCACTATTTTCAGTGCTGAGAGCACCACAAATGGGAAGTATGTCTTTTTGTCATTTGTATGAAGTGACACTTCTTCCATGAATACACTGCTTCTGCTTATCCATGTCTCTCCCTTGGATTTAATACAGCAAATCAATAGGGCTTAGTGAAAGACAGTATGTGTCCCTAATAATTTGTACTCCTCTTATATGCATTGATGGATACGCAGTGGGAACTACACAACCACATAGATAGACATACATCCACACACAAGACCCAACCTCCACCTTTGCCCCTTCATATCCCTCACCTGTTATTGTTATCGACCATTCTAGTATTGTTCCTCCCTGTAATATATAACACTATAACAGTGTCAACATTTCATATCACACGGATTAGCGCTCCAGCCATCTGTACAGCTGATTGAGACCAGTTCTGCACTCTTGGAGCCTCCTGGTGAGAACCATGAAATCACAACACCACCACCTAATGAGTGGAGGGAGCACCCTGAGGAGGGAAGGAGAGGGTCTAAATATTGACAGCAAATATTTGATTGAAAGGTAGGGGTGTCCCCCGACTCATGGGTGTGTGCTCAAACACAGGATGCATGCCCACGTGCACACACGCACACACACACACACACTCCAAAACCCACAGTTTCATGTGTTATCAGCGTCTCCAGCTGTCTTTGACTTGAAAAGCAAGGGGTGGATGCTTCATATACACACCTACACACACAGTCTTCAGGGCCCGCTCCATGCTGAGACACATACACAGCTTGACTGTGGTAGATGACACTGTATGTGTGTGTGTGTGTGTGTGTTTCTTAGCTGCAGATCATTTCTAACTGACTTCATATCTGTCGTAGATACACCTGGTTGGGTGCCAGCACGTGCACACACACAAACAATAATCTCTGTGCAACCCTTTAACACACAAACATACACACTCACACACCTGACTGAGCACCAGTTGGGGGGTTTCAGGTGGAAGTCCGCAGGGAAGGCTTCGCAGCAGGGCCGACCTAAAAATATAATGCACCGGGAGGTCCTTTGTAGACAAACAAACACACTGTAACGTTCCTACAGAAAGACCTGGAAAGGAAAGGTAAAGAGACATCAGTGCTGCACAGAAAACTAATATCATTGTCTTGTGTGTCAGAGAGTGAAACAAACACCTGTTGCATTTGTGTGTTATATGGAAAACTAACAGGCCTGACCCTTGCATTCTCAGCCTGTTCGTGTCTCTCTAGCAGCAGAAACAAGGAAGAACACCGTACAAGGCAAACTGAGGAGAGTCTCAAACTGATTTAAGACCAGTTGTGCATTTTCTGCACGAAGTAAGTAGTGTAATTAGGTAGACCCTGAGCATTGCACCAGGCTTTGCCCCCCAGGTCCCTGAGACCTGTGCTGTTCCCTTTGACTGTACAGATCAGCAGCAACAGGTGATCAGAGTTCTCCACCTGCTGGATAAAATCTAGAACTGCATCTTCTTCTTGGCCTACTTTCTTTGAACTACAACTACCATCAACTCTGATGTCCACGAGCAGAGATGAAAAGCAATTATGTATATTTACTGGATTTGATTACAGTATAAATGTAATTTCTTTGAGTGATTATTTTAAGCTACTTCAATTCCACTACACCTCTGTAGTGGAAACAAGTTTTATTCCACACACGTAGGCCTGAATGTGTACAAAGTAGTCAAACTCTCCACCCACCACTCAACACCAGGAGCTAAACCAATACATTTCTGCTTAATGTGTCAATCATTTAAAGCTGCAGTAGGTCATTTTTATAAAAAAAATAACCTTTTGTCATAGTTATTTACACTTTGTCTATATCCTGACAGTAGAACATGAGACAGATCATCTGTGAAACAATCAGGTTCCTCTGGCTCCTCCTGGTACTCCTAATGGCAGAGAATCCACTGGGCCTGAATGAAAACAACCAATCAGAGATGAGAAAGCTAACAAGACACTTTGGGTTAGTGGCTTGAAAAGATCAACAATCAACTATCTTTCTCGGCTCTGATTGGTTGTTTTCATTTAGGCCTAGTGAAGTTGCAAATACCATTAGAAGCACTAGGAGGAGCCAGAGGAACTTTAGGATTAATAATAATTTACAGATAATATTAAGTTTCAGCAAATATGACTTAATAATTATTTTTGTAAAATAACCTTCTGCAGCTTCAACAGTCACTTTTGACCAAATTGTACAGTTTACAGCTAATACTTATAACTTAGTATTCTAAGTATAAGAAGTGGTATAATCTTCCCAGCTGATCTGTTGACCTGGTGACAGTGACATTGTATGCTACAGTTAATGACATAGTGTGCAAGTCATTGCTTGAACTAACCTTACTGTTTTTGTCAGCCACCCTGTTGTGACACAACAAGCACATCAACTTTTCTCAGAGTAAATCCTGTGTCCCCAACCACTATAAATATGCTCCAGTTTTTCTTTTTTTAAAACATTACACATCATCTATACAGCTGCACTGAAAACAAGAAGTCCGGCTGCAAAAAATATCCCTCCCTTCCTGTTTGAGGAACTATGTATTTTAGTATATTTGGCCAAAATTAAAATGAGTAAAATATCTCTCCACAGTAAGTAAAGAAGTACTGCTTGGGGGTAAATGCAAACTGTTTCCTAAATAGCAGTGATAACTGTCATTTGAAGACAGCCAGGCTCACTGACTGCTTCATGTGTTTTTTAAAAATAATGATTTCTTCAGTAGAGTCAATATCAATCAGTGTAGCCAAAGTGGCACGATGCAAAAGACTTGTTTTCTTATTTTATTGCTGAACCTGAGGGAACGTCTCTCAGTCTGCCCAGTTGCAGTTCCCTCTGGCAACTAATTAATATAAAGTGGATTTAAGCTTAGAGCAGACTAAATATAATATACTGGTAAAATAAATATTTAACTGTACTAGAAGTGTTTCTGTCAATTGGACTTGTTCCTCACAGACTGCTGCTGTAGTGCAGGCGTTCACTTGATGCTGATTGGAAAAAGGTGATCTGATTTTAGATGGCTCTTGGAACTATAGGACATCAAGAAATGACGCAGGTTAATAAAACCATTCAGATCATTAACTCCCAATTGGGGAAAAAAAAGTTTTTAACGTCACTGCAATTGAATATGAAAGACTTTTTTAAAATTTTATTTTAAACATTTATTCCTTAAATGGTGGTGCATTCAAAGTATTTCTCAAAATGAATAGAAATTTAATAAAACTATGGAGGACCAAAAAATGACACAAGTATAAATAAATCCATAAATAAATAATAATAAGTAAATACAGAAACAGCCATATTCATCAGTCATCACCAAATTGTATTTATTTTCTATTTAGTTATGTTTTTCATTATTTATTCATACATGTATTTATTTATTCGTGCTAATGCCATTTTTTGTAGTGTGTGTGTTTGTCTTAAATTGAATTTGACGGGGGGGAGGATGACGTCAGAGGTCAGCTGACAGGTTTGTTTTGCTTGCTCGAGCTCGTCCTGATAAAAACACAGCGAGAGGAAGGAGGAAGCAACGACACCGAACCGCCTCCGAACTAGTGCTCCTCGGTCAGTGTTCGGCCCGGCAGCCCAGCAGCGAGCCCACGGACACTTTTATAAGTCGTTTTTAGCTTTTTATATTTTTGCTCCGACACAGCCGCTACCTCTGTTTCCAGCTCCTGACAACTGTTTGACTTTGACGCAATATGCCTTCAGAAAAAACCTTCAAACAAAGAAGGACATTCGGTGGGTGTTATCACAGCTTCTTTCACCATTTTACACACTGCTCCTCTGCTTTAGCTGCTTTTATGTAATGCGCATGTTGCTGGCTGGATGTTTGTTCCGAGCTGTACAGGAGAGAATCCTTGTCAGTGCAGGCAGGCCAGCTAGTTGTTGGTTATTATCCCACAGGCGAGTATTAGCCTTCATTTTGTCCTGCTGGTTCACTGTCAATGTATGTTAGACACACAGGAGAGATGCTGCTGTACAGCTAATTACAGAAGCATACAGCGAGGTCTGTGCTACTGTCAACTTATATAAGAGAACATGGAAGACTAACATTGTCCCCACTAGTACATACAGGTTTAAATATAGAAAAGAATAGATTAGATCAGTAAATAGCTATTTGCTGCAGGCCTCTCTCTCTCTTTCTCTTTCTCTATCTGTCCTGTGTGTGTGTGTGTGTGTGTGTGTGTGTGTGTGTGTTTATTTGCAACAGAGCGGTGGGAGAAAAACAAAGTGGTGTCGAAATGCTGGGCAGAGAAAGAGAGCTGCAGGATTGGGGGATGGGACGGTTTGTGGAGGAGAGGAGAGGAGTTTGAAAGAGGGGACAGATTCAGATGGTACCTAGAAAGTACACAGTTTACCTTTTGTCTCTTTGTGTGGAGGCTAGGCCACAGCCTCGATGCGGATTATAGTTTCAGTTTTCCCACAGAGCTCAACATGAGGCCTGCAGTGCCTCTGCAAAAGCAACTTAGTCTCTGTCCACTTTCCTCTCACTCACTTAACATGTTTTTTTCCCAGTAATTTAGCACATAAGTGTATATAACACAATCTGTAAGTAATTCTATTAAACTTTTTCCTCAAATTCATTTTTCATTATGTTGATAAGTTGTCTTTTTCCATGTGTTATATGCCTTGAACAAAGATGAGAAATGTTGCACTCAGCCCTGGAAATATAATATGACTAAAAGAAACCTGCTTCCGGTTTAACGTCACGTTACTGGTCCAAATTTACACAACCGGAGCACGTGAGGGCCAGGCAACAACAGAAACATGTGAGAACGTGTTAAAGAGACGCTTTAGACACAAATTGATCTTTTTTACTGTACCAGGACAAACTGACTGAAGCACAGCTCACTGTTGGTGTATATTGCGAGTTTAAGAACAAACAGTTTTGTATTAGTGGTTGTTTACAGTGTTATCCAGTGTTATCCAGTGTTAGTCATCATTTCTCTCAGTCTTTGCTGCCTTGTGTATACGTCATTATCTGGACCCAATGTTTCACCATGTTCATTACACTGTCAGTAGGCCTGTATGAATCAATAGGCCTAAATCTGAGTTCAGTCTCTGAGGTTGAAACTGTTAAGTTGTCTGTACAATAGGTCATAAAATGACTCAGGAAACCACAGGGAATCTTCCAGTTGTGCTTGCTAATGACTAATTCCCATATTATGACAGAACGTAAATGTGTGGGGAAAGATACCCTCGTGCTTTTAGGTCAACTGCTTCCCATTTTGTGATTTATTTTTTCTTTTATTGATTGAAATCTGATGACTCAGAGGCTGCTTATTGCTTGGTCTGGTCATGAGAGACACACTGACACATACAGAGCTTCCCTGTCTCTATCCCTGGCTATGAACTCATCCTGATTTAAATGTAATCATAGAACAATGGCCTACATTTCCTCAAGTTAAGCATGAAAATGGCACCCTTAGGAGGAAGATAAACATTAGCCAGTTGATTGAATTAGGTATCCTAACAGAGTAAACAAATTCTCCTCTAAGCAAACATATTTTTAGTGGCATGTCACAAGGCTGGATACCAGGAACTCAAAGCTTCAGCTGACTCTGACAGCTGACAGCAGCCAGTGCACTGCCTTCGATTGCTTGTCTCCAATTTCATTTCTTACTAAGGTTTCATCTTACGTCAAAGTCCTAAAGCTGATGGAGATGATGTAAAGATTTTTGTTGTTTTTTTTTTTTAAGTCGTTCAAGTTTTTGGAGTGATTGTTTACCATCAGACTGTTGTTGTTGTTGGTGTTGTCAGTACAAAGTGCAGTGTTATCTGTGGCTGTTTACTCTGGCCCTGGTTACAAATGACTTAAAATGGAGTTAAAACTCAGAAAGGAGGGGCTTGCTCTGCCGTATAGGTCATCAGTGAGTAAGGATCCATCCAATCAGCAGCTGTGTTTCTGACCCTGAGTTATCACTGTGGAGGGAAGGTGTTGGACTGTCATCTTCAGCTGAGAGTCCATCAATCTAGATAGAGAAAACACCAAGACACATATTGGCATTATTTTGAATACTGTTGCCTATTCTAAGGGACATTTAATGATGTTTTTTTAAAGTGCCCATCCAGTCAGAGATCAGTGTCTCTTCTTGTCCCTACAGTGTGCTGTCTGAATGCTGTCTTGTACAGTGTGATGTAGAAACTTGAAGCCACCAGTGCTCATCCACTGAGAATGGACTTTACAGTGAAGGAGGAGACATCTTGTGTCCAGCAGCAAAACTTTAGAAATGAACAACATTTACATATTCAGAGATTCTGGAGGTTTTAATGAGTGGATGCCGTTTTAAGGGTTTTAATGTGGAAATCTGACTTTTTTTAGGGGAAAACCCCATCAGACACACATTTTTAACACGTGTCTGGAGGGGAATCTTTAGCATTGTGTAACATGCCTGATTTAAATATATCTGTTACATAAATGACGCATTTCAGTTTCGTTTCCTATACACAGGTGTGGTGCATGCTCAACATGCCTGTCTGTTTGTAGAGGATGCAAACTGCACAGCACACATTGAAGTAATTGAGTAGAAAATGAGCGAATAATACTTTTACTCTAATAATCTGCTAATCACTGTGGAACAACATGGTTAGTACACCATGAGTGGATTTTAGGAAAGCCCATTATGTTTTCACTGGAGCACCTCAGTCCACTAAGCAGTCTGTTAAATACATTGTTCCCAGATGTTTCTATTCTGGTTGATATTGAGCTCCAAGATTGTAATCGTATTATGTTCTTTTAATGAATATTCTTCTGCTAAAAATAGTGGAAGACCAATTATAGCTGCGCCATTCTTAGGTTAAGATCTCACAAGAATGTGTGATACTTAAAACACCTCCACAAAGCAGTTTAACCAGAGATTATAACAACAAACCGCTGACCGCTGCTCCTCACGAGATCACACACTACACACTTGCTGTATGCATGAGTGGAGCTGCTGTTCAGTTGAAACCTGCCTGTATGTTTGTTTGTTTATACTTGTTAGACTCGATTTTTTTGGTTACTTTTCTTTCTCTGTTGTGTGTCTGTTTGTGTATTATCAGTACTTGCTCATTCTTCCTGACTTTCTAATCTCTTTGTCTACTTGTACATTTCCACTAACCCGAGTCTGTTTTTCTGCCCCACAGAGCAGAGAGTAGAAGATGTCAGACTGATCCGAGAGCAGCACCCCAACAAGATACCTGTGAGTTCACATGTGCATTCACTTGCAGTCACCAGGTGAACACCAGAGCCTTTGCAGTACAATCCACTGAAGCAACATTGTTCTCACACTTTGAGAAGTAAAAAACTGGAAGGGCAGAAATGTATCAGCATGATGTGCACAGCTGCACGCAGGAAGGCTCGAGTAAGAACAAGACTAGCAGCGGAAAGTGTTACCACATATTTCCTGGTTGTACTGTGAACTGTGTGTGAGATAGTTCTACATGTTCTCTGTTGGCATCAGACACACTTCTGCACGTGCTTTCTGTCGGCGTCTGGTTGGAGATCTTTCTGTTGTCTTGCTGGTCATCATTCTAAGGTTATTTTTCTTATTTGAAGGTATGAGCCCCCAGTGTCCACAGCAGTTGTAGTTTTTCCTTATGAGGAATGGGTGTGACTGCATCTGCTAATAAGTCAAGCGGCTCCTAGCAACCACCAATAAACAAACGCACACCTCGTGTTTCACCTGCTCGTTTTATCATTTTGAGATAGAGTATCACCACCGCCCTCCGTCTGCTGCCTCTTCTCATGTTTAAAGCACCCCAGTGTGTGTGTGTGTTTCCTGTGTACTCTCCTGGGGTTATAAACTGCCATGTCATGGTAAGTGTTGAGACCAGAGGCAGATGCGCTGTGTCACTGTAACGTAACCCCATCCGGACAGCCTCAGTGGAGCCTTGGGGAGTGGGGGGGGGGACGACTGACAGACTGATTATAGCTCTCAGACCAGGCCCTGCCTCACTGAGCTGTATACCCACTCTCATGCCAAACGGAGGTTAACGCACTTCTAAATAGCTGCTCAAATTTCAGATCAGCAATTCTATTCCTCCATTTTATGTTGGCAAGATCACATTTAAAGGTGACAGATTCATTATCCTGATTCAGTGTAACGGTTTCCAGCATGAAGATTGATCAGAAAACAAATGGCGCAATAAAAATGAATAAGTAGTTAGCCGACATATTATAGATAAACATTAACTTAGCAGGACAATAAATCATTATAATGTTAATACTCTGTCTGGAATGTGATAACTATAATTATCTGTCTGTCTATCTCTCCGTCTGTCTGTCCATCCATCCTTCATTAGCCAATAATCTGCTGATTATTTTCTGGACAGAGAAGTTTGAAGAACCCATCCAGACATATATACAAATAATCTGCATGGAACAATAATGTGTGTCTGATGTGGGTTTTTTTTTTTTCCCCACCAAAAAACAAATTTTTCCACATTAAAATCCTTAAAAAGTGAATCTACTCCTTCTAACTCATTATAAATTCCAGAATCTCTGAATATGTACATTTGGTTCCTTTCTGAATGTGAAAACATCCTTCTGGTGTCAAACTGTGCACAGACAGCATTCACACAGCACACTGTAGGGACAAGAAGGGGCACTGATTAAAGAGTGGAGGGGGACTTTAAACAAGTTCTGGAATTTCTTCTTAAAGTAAAAGACTGATTATCAAAAGAGTTACAGATTCATTTTCTGAACGCCGACTAATCAATGAATCACCTGATCATTGCAGCACTAATCTGAAGTGTAGTCTTTAAATGGGCTCTCTGCTGATTTTACACATCACATTCAGTTTACTGGTGACATTCAGTACTCGTAGTTTGGCATGACTGGCCTTTAGAAGTTTACAGTGGTTTATTCTTTCAGATTACAGTACATAGAATATAAAAACATTGTAATGTCATCATACACTGGAAGCAGTGATGATACAGAATGATACAGTCGCAGAATGTAAACAGTTTTTATTGTGCAAACTGCAGCATAATAAAAACAGAACTTAAGAATAAAAAGATATAGCAACAACTATAACAATGCTTCTTTTTCAGGGCAAATTATTTTAAAATAGCTGTATAAACACTGACATCAAATACTCAGAGTATTTAAGTATTGCACAAGTTAGAAGGAGTTCATTCTAGACCTGCTCTATTTGAAAAGTGTCCTGAGATAACTTAACAAATAAAACTGAATTGAACTAAAACAAATGAGTTTCAGCTATGCAAAGGTACAGTAGTAAATGAAAAATGAATATCATACAGGAAATTACAACTAATATACCAATATATCACCCTGCACTATTAAGTTGCATTATGGGAAATGTAGGATGCAGTGTTTTTTGGGTTTGACTAAGGACTAAGATTCAGGATATCTCAACTTCTTTCTTTTTAGGTTTTGTCATGTCTATTCTTGAATGAATTTCCAGAAAATGTACTCTGTAGCAGAGAATATCACTATAATGATACACACATATTCCACCATATATAGATAGACAATATTTGATCCATATCAGACAGCCAGGCTATCATAGTGTGCATGATCTGCTATTAAAGGCAGCATAAGCATTAACAGTTGAGACGTGAAGCAGCTCAGATGGAGGGTGCTCTGCTGTGGCAGCCAGCCGCAGTGGATTAGTGTTACAGCGGATGCATGTTGCCCTTGTTGTCAGTGATGAAGTGGTCTGCGTGCTTCTGCAGTGCTGCTTCTAAAACCTCGTTTGAAACAGATCTTAACTCGATTAAACCTCTCAGTGAATAAACAGAAACTGTGTTCGTAGCTCAAGCAAATCAGTGTCGGTCCAGTGAACGCAGACTTTATAGATTGGCAGGGACAGTCCAGAAAGGCTCTACCATATCATCTGATATGTCGGACTCCATCTCACCATTGATCATGGACGCTGGTCTAAAAGCAGTTTGAGCCGTCTAAAACCAGCAGAGGAACTACTGCGCTGGTAGGATTCCAGCAGCGCGGCTGAAAGCGGAGGCCTGGTGGACTGATTGTGTGTGCTGTGTGTCTGTAGGTGATCATTGAGAGGTATAAAGGAGAGAAACAGCTGCCCATCCTGGACAAGACCAAGTTCCTGGTGCCAGACCACGTCAACATGAGTGAACTCATCAAGATTATCAGGTACACCTCAAGTCCTCTCCTCCTCTCCTTCCTGTCCTATTCTTTCTTGGATTTCCTGCCTCTCTTTTGCTTTTATCTCCTTTCCTCTCATGTTCTTTCCTTTATTTTCAGTACTTTTCTTCCTTGTCTTTCCTTATCTTTTCAAAATCTTCTCCTCTCCTTGTCTTCACTTTCTTCTCTTCTGTCCTTTCCTCCTCACATCACCTATCCTTCCAATTCTTCTCTTCTCCCCTTTCCTGTCTTCTTTACTTTTCTTTCCTCTTATTTCCTGTCCTTTCCATTTCATCTCCTCTCCTCTCCTCTGCTCCCCTCTCATCCTCACTCTGCTATGTCTTTGTCTCCCCACCAGGAGGCGCCTCCAGCTAAATTCCAACCAGGCCTTCTTCCTGCTGGTCAACGGCCACAGCATGGTCTCTGTGTCTGCTGCCATCTCCGAGGTGTACGAGCGGGAGCGGGACCAAGACGGCTTCCTCTACATGGTGTACGCCTCCCAGGAGACCTTCGGCACTGCCATGAGCGCCCAGTGAACAGCCCCCCTTCCTTTTCCCCCTGCCAGGCCATCGGACAATTGGTAGTTTTTAGCCCCCTCCACGTTTCTCCACCACACACCTTTAGCCTCGACTGTAGGAACTAAAACACAAACGGCCATATCTAAACACAGCGTAAGATCATTTCCCAGCTCGAACCGGTTCAGGTTGTGATTGAGTAGACCGTTTGTGTCCCACCCTCCCAGTAGCATAAAGCCACAAGGGTCGACCAGCGAGTCCAAGTAGAGAAATCCCCCAAACTGACTACGACTCAGGCCAATAGAGTCTTTTAGTGTCTCTGCTTCTTCATTGTCCCCTCTGGTGGCGACCTACGGCCTGTTGACGGCAGTTTATTTTCATTGTTTTAGCTGTTTGGTGTCTCCTAGGCTGTATTTCTGTTAAAGTGTGTGTGTGTGTGTATATATATATATACACACACACATTTCAGTTAGGGATATTGCATAAAAGTGGTGAAGCTCCATCACTTACCTATATATACATTAGCCAATGAACAAAGCCAACCTTAATTTTAAGGTTTTTGGAGACAGGCGCTAGAGAAAGATAAGGGTTTTTAATGCAGATTTTTATTGCAGTTAAAAGATAAAACTAAGGGATTTGTAGTCGTACTTTTGCCAGAGAAAATTGCAAAATGAAGTAGAGAAGATCCTCGTTAACGAACGCATCTCTGCTGTGTGTCTCGTCACATTCCCTCCTCCTTCTGTGTTTTTATCCCTCCCTGCCTCGTAGCCTAAAGCATCTTCACTGTAACAAAGAGATGTTAGGAAACTGCTTTTGCTCTCGAAAACAGATGATTGTAGTTTGCAAAAAAATAAAAAAATGCCTTGGTGTACAGATAATATTTACAGCTTTGAATATAAAAGGGGTTCCAATGAGAGTGTAACCAAGTTGGCTTTGGACACACTACAAGGAGCATGGTCTGATTGCATGTGTGAATGGAGGATGATGGTGTTTCTGTAAATGCTGATGAGGGGAGGGGGTTGCCATGCCCTTACCTTTTTATCTCCTTTGTCACCAGTATTTGTTAAGGTGATCGAGGAATGAAGGGAAGTCAAAACAAAGAGTGAGACTCGGGCAGGTTGACGTTGGACCGTAAGGTCTGCGCTCTAAAAGAAAGAACCTGTCTGTCTATAGATGGTCCTCCACACTCTGTGCTGTCGTGCTTCTCCTCCTCCTCCTCCTCACCATCTTCTTAACAGATCGTTTAGCTGCTTTTATATCGCAGTATTTTATCATTTTGGTTCTTTTTATTTAATGTGATTTTTATTCCATTGTACGCCATGTCTTTACTCTCCGCTGTCTACTGTATGTGAAGTACAAAGATGACTTTTTTTCCCGACTATTGAAAGCCACTGTGTGTTTGTTACAGAGGGGTGGAGCAATTGTTTCAGTGCTGTCTTTTCTGCCTGCTCCTCTGTGCCACACACGTACCCACACACAGCAATATCATACAGCCTCCTCTTATGTATTTATGTTGGTATTTTGTAAACAATAAAAGGAGAAAAAAAGATGAATTGTGGGGTTCCTGTGTTATTCTGACCATGGATGAACTGTAATGTTATCATGTTGCTCAATTCATAAATAACTCTCAGTACAAATTATTATAGGACCTGAATGTATCTGTAGTTAGAGAGTGAATCAGTGTGAAACTCAAATCCACAGTTTTCATTAACAGTATGTTCATTTCTTGCAGGCTGTAATACTGTGCACAAAACCAAGTGACTGAGCTCTTCCAGAATTTCGTATTAACATTAACTTTATCTATTTACAGCTGAAAATGGGAAGCTTTCATTTTAGAGAAAGAAAGAAGAAAGACAGCTATTAGGTGTGATAAAAAAAAATAAAAAAAATAGAAATCACATTTCCACTCATTAATTCTATCAAGTAAACTAAAGTCTGACTGTATAGGTTTAATGTACTTAGTCCACTTGGCCCAAATCTGGAGGAATTTTTCTTTTTGGACTTTGAGGTAGAATGACAGCCTTTCCACAATTTTCAATCTTTACTGAAAAAAATAAAAATAAAATCATGATGTGACATTTGTTGGGGTCTGTAGCAAACAAACATGTTGTCTTACATCTGGAGACCAAGAGTCTCTGCAGCTCTATAGTACTTCATTATAATGCTGTTTGTCACATTTTACCTTACAATTAAAATTGCAGCCCCTGGGATTTGCATATTGCACTTGGCCACAGCGATTTCAATAATATTTTGATTAATTGTGCAGCCCTGATTTCTTGTTGCTTCATTATGCTGCTTTTCTGTTGGGTGGTATTGCTCTCCAGCGCATTCATCAACATGCTCAATGTGTAAATCCTCACATGCAAAATATTGCAGCAAGCCGCCAGCCGCATTCTTGCAGACATAAATGTCTCATATTTTCTGGCATCACCATAATGTCACGTCACGCGGCTTATCACGCAACTCCTCTGCTATCTTTTCTCAAACACATTTACACAACTGAGGACAAAGCTGAATTTTTCATACTGAACATGAAATGGACAGACATGGAGGGATATAAAGAGTTCGGTCTAGACCTGCTCTATTTGAAAAGTGTCCTGAGATAGCTTCTGTTATGAATTGGTGCTATACAAATAAAATTGAACTGAATTGAATTGAATTACAGGCCTCTCATATAGAAGGCATGTTATAAAATACTCTGTGGACAGAGACATGTAGTGGAGGGTTGCACAGTTCCAGTAGTACTATAATAATATAATAATATATTTCTTTGTGCATTATAAAGGCCAGGCTTGGGGAGTAATGGATTACATGTAACTGAGTTATCAGCATATAAAAAAGGTAACTGTAATTGTAAGATGTAATGAGATTACAGTTTTCTGTTTTCTTTCTTACATACATTCTTCCAAAGTAACAGAAAGTAATCAAGTTATGTTACTTTAATATTGTGATACTTGGATTAGGTTACTGACAGGTAACACTACAGTAACTGTATCAGATTACAGTAACCCGAGTGAGGGGATTCATTTCCAATAATTGGTTCCTACATGAATTTGTTTTTGCTGTACTTTCATTTTTGCATTACTGTTACATTAAGGAACACACATTGTGGATAGGGAACAACCCAGAAGGGTGAGCAGTGAAAATGTTCCCTTTATCTGGCTTTACTTGCGTTCGGATGTCTGAGTAATAAAAACAACGTTGACCACTTTTCAGCTTAAGTGTAACAATGGAAAATAAATGAAAGGCAGGTTAATGGTAATGTTCTGCAACACTAAAGATGTGTCTGTATGTATATTTTAGCATTCTGAAACATCTATTCATACATGTGTAAATATGGGTCTGTTCCACTGTGCCCTGTAATTTTCTATGGATGAGAAAGGTGGTTTTTATCCTGACAAAATTAGAGCTGTAATCGCAGTGTGGCTCCACTGGCTAATTTTAACACCAAAGTCCTCCGGTCTGCTGGTTCAGTTTTCAGATTTAGATCTCACTGTTTAGACAGAACTCGAATGAACTATTATTGGACTTGTATTCAGAAAATATATAATGAGAGATTATATATAAAGAGCAGATCTGTACCAGAAAGGTGGATGCGGTTGTCGGTTTTGGTTCTCTGTGTTGTAGAAATAGAACATCTGATGTACATAAACAATAATTGAAAGTTGACACATTTAAAGGGCAATTCCACCAATGTTACACATCAGAGTCCGTTTACAGGTCTCAGGGAGTATTGTGGCCCCTGTATTGTGGCTGAAGAAGTTCTATCTGGGGGTGTGGAGTTAAAAAGAAGTGAATTTACCATACCTCTGTAGTCCTCTCCAAATCTCTGCTTGTGGCATCATTAGCCGTTACTAACATGACACACCGGGTTCGAGTTGCATTGTGGGAAACGTAGTTGCCATGTTTGACAAGGAAGAAGAATGCTTAGAATCAAAACGACGATATATCTGGTTCCAATGCAATCAATGAGGCTGACAATGTGACAGGAGTGTGAAGCTAAATCAATGGAGAGCTCTTCAATCCAATTCAACGGCCTTTTCACTGTAGACATTTTATCAGTAGAACAAGCACAGGCATAAACAGTAAGAGGAGTGATGATGAATTCCATTCAGACCTTTGTGCCGTGGTTCGGGCTCTCACACAATTCTTTCAGGCTCAGCTCTGGTCTGACTTTTTGTGCCCGATCAAAGTTCTAATTCCATTTAGCTTCAGTTTCCGTCACACTGTCATGACTTCCTGGGACACTTTAATGTTATAAGTAATACCTGTGCCTGTCCTACTACAACAAAATGCCTGCTGTGAAAAAGGCCTTTTTGATTTGAGTTCTTTAAAGGGCTGTTATTACCCTTTGACTTCATAAAGGAATCATTCGCACCATATGATGAAAGACAGAATCAGAAAATATTTTATTCAAACATGTTTTTCCCTCAATGTTCCAATAAAACAAGTTTTGAAACACAATAAGCAATATAAAACCTGACCTACAACTCAACTGGATAATTATAAACTGTTCAAACATTTGCACACAAATATTTCAAAAGCACATTTTTACTAAAGATGAAGCAACATGCATGCCGGAGCATGATTTAACCAGGCTACTGTGATTGTTACAGATCTAGACTGGCTTTAACTAAATAGCTCCAAAAAAACAAAAAGAGACAGAAGTGGAGCTCTGTGGGAGGCATTCTTTGGTGAGACCCATGGAGGCAGTTGTTCTTGTACTGTGCAACCACTGAAGAAAATGTATAAAGTGTTTTTATGCAGCCTTGTTCATACAGACCGTTGCACTGTTACACACAGATAAATGAACTCTGAGCTCCACAGATGTTTATATTACAATACAAAAGCACATTTTTGACATATTCTAATCAACAGACAGAAGTTGTTATACATACTGAACATTCAGTATTTAGCATTTTAAATAAACACCCCTCATCCCTGTGCTGTGCCCTCCAGGGGCACAGATAGAGTTTCATCTGAAGGACCAGCTGTCCTCGTGTCTGTAAAACTCGGGGTCCTGCCCGGCAACTCACTCGCAGTCTGACACAGGAGTACACTGTGAGACTTTTCCTACATACATACTTAGACTCTTTCAATTCAACAGTCCTGAATTTTCCTCTGCATAAAGATTGTACATGTTAATTACAAAAAAAAAAAAGAGTCGGCTCCATCAAGAGAGCAACATCCAGGACGCTCAACATTCATTCATTCACAAACATCAAACTTCAAAAGGAAAATGGCACTTTTGAAATGTCCACCCAGCTTGAATGACCACACAAACACTGGCGTGAAGTGAACATACAAACGCATTCTGTACTGACTGAAAGAGATGTGGAAGTGTCTGAAAATATTCAGTTGCATGCATGATTGTCCTGCTATAGAGGGACAGTATTTGGCACTGGAGGCCATCTTGCTCTCAGGTTGGCTCTGAGGTAGAGAGGCTGCTATGGGTTTCTCCCCAGGCACTGGTGACAGGCTTTCATGGACAAGAGAGTGGATGGTGTGGCTTCCCTCTGTGACTGCCAGCTGCTGATTCCAGTTTCCAAGTGTGAGCAGTCCACACACACCTCAGTGTCCCAGCACAGGGGCTGGAGTCTGCATCTCTTCACCCATACGTACACAGCCAACAAGGCCATTTCAGACCTTCTTTTGGAGGGTGTCCTTTGCAGCCATCAGTATCTGATAATCTACAGTCAGTTATTAATGAAGCATTCAGGTGATCGGTGCTGTGGTGCTCATTGATTACTAGTAAATACGTCACATGGATGAGGCCAATGAATCCAGGCATTAACTCTCATGTGCTTGTTAGCAGCCTGGACAGGCAGTTAGCACAGGGCATTAGAGAAATACTGAAGTTGTATGGATAGACTGTATTTAGCATTACCCTGGAGCCCCGGTTGTCCATCAGATGTTGGTTTGAAACATCACAACTTTTTCTGTAATCCCTGGTATCTTTTCTGCTGGACTCTACACTTCACCAGCCTTTGAATGCCACATCATTGTCATCAACTTACGTAACAAGTTGACATGAGAGTGCCTGAATGCATCATCTGTTTTGGTCTCTGTGGGACTGGGCAGCAGGTTCAGCAGAAACCTCAGATCCTGCAAAGGATCCACCTTCTACAGCTGATTCCTTCGGTGATCAGGCCCTTGAATCAGGGGCACTTGCCCTGGGTATTAACATGCGTCTCTGACAGCTCTAACTACAGGTGACAGGACACACTGAGATCTGATCGCTCAAACCACATTCGGAGGTGGTCTGGGCTGGATGTGATCACATTCTTTTAGCAGTGTGTACGCAATGTGTCCACACTGAAGGACCGCCTATACAACTGACGTCCTGTAAGTACACACGAAACACGCTGTCTGATTTCCATTTGGTTCACTGTAATGCAAGTGATGTGTTTGGGCTCTCCTAGCTGCCAAGATAAGCAGCAGATGTTTGTGTACACACTGTTTCGACTGATGAACTGGTAACTGCAATATCCCCAGACTCCCTTTAAAAATCACACATTTTTGAGAGTTGTTGAATGAGGAGAAACTTTATAGACTTTGTGAAACACTATCTATGAAACACTATTTGGGCCTTCTTGCAAATTCAGCAAACGTTACACAATAATTCTGTTCGTCCTGGCATGTTGGCTGGAGCCTGGCAGGAGACGCTCCATGGTGCGAGCAAGATGCACACGTTTTCTTTCTCTGGCATTCATGCCTTTATTCTTCTATCTGTGATGTGAAAACATCTGGTTTCCACGTAGTCAGAGAAAGTAAAAGTGTGTCCTGCTCATTTAGTTCAATTATAATATCCCACAGCCACTTCCTGTAGCGCTGCTGTTAGTGCCGATAAAGCATCTAACTCAGGCTGATAGAGAGTAGGAGCAGGAGTTTGCTGAACTGAAAAAAAGGAACATATAGTGTTCATTATTACCGTCCTTTCGGAAGATTTGACTGACTAACAAAATACAGAGTAGTGTACAGCCCTATAACTGTTTATTTGAATGTGGAGACGCACTCTAATGCCAGGTGTGAAGAACTTAGAGCTGTCTACTTGTGATCGGATCACCCAAGACGCATGTTGATACAGAGCCAAAGGTAAAGGTAAAGGTACTCTGTGGAGTTTTCTTGTAAAGAAACAAAAGTTAAATTTACATTAAAGTGCTTCTTTGTTTGTATTCTTCAGGTCTAACTAACATGTTGAGTGCATTTCCTTCCACATTAAACAAAGCCGATTGTTCAAAGATTGAAAAATTTGCCCTGTTTACATCCATATTTACCACCGACCCGCTCATAAAAACACTGCTCCACAGCACTAGTGGTAAAACAAAACACCACAGGGTACCTTTACATTTTTTTCTTGGACTTGTTTTCCTCATTTGCTCCTTTTAAAGGAGGATGACCGAGACAGTGATACATGTATATCTGAAAACTATCCACAAATCCTTAATACAGGTTTTGAGCATGTATTGTGTTCACCCTGGAAATATGACAAATTGAAGTATAGTGAAAACAGTTGATATGCACACTAAAAACACATGGGCACTAATCTCCCACAATGCAATACTTAAAGGAAATAGAAGAGTGGCTCACAGCTGCATAAAAACGTGTTGTGGATGGTAGTTCAACTTCTTGCCAAGATTTATTGGCAGTTGCATTCTGGAGTCACATGTTGATAGTTAGCATAAAACAAAAGTATGAAGACTTTGAGTAGGATGAGACGTTTTATACCAGCAGATTGAGTCACAGGGAAGATAACACTGCTGTAGCTTTGTGGGTTCAGAGAGATGGGTATATATCCAAGGTATCCAGTTTGTCACAAACAGGGCACTGTTTCATTAAGCTGGGTTTTAGACCCAGTATAAATCAGTTGAGGGAGTGGCCAGGATACTGGAGTGCTGTGCCTTTGGCTTATGAACCATCTAGAAGACAATGAATACTCAGTCATTTAGCTGGGAGGCAGATTCTGAGACTCTCTGGTCGTAATGCACCATGGCTGATTGTCTGGTTGTAGTGTTTCTTCTGAGCGTGAGTTCCAGCTACGTCTCTGAAAGGACGTGAGGCAGAGCAGTGTTTGTGGAGATCTGAGGAGGGATGCAAGCTAATCTGTGACAGCCGCTCCTCTTTTCTCCTCTTCTCGCCAATCTGTCTACATTTTCGTCTCTTTCCCGTCCTCCTCTCATCTCACTGTAAGCTGCTGTTAAAGTATTACAAAGGATACAAGGGGTCTGTGTCACCAGATCAACCGTCTTTAAACAGACTCGTGTTGCCTGCTTGTACCCAGAATCAGGCTGTCTGTCTGCTCATCCCTTATAAACTCTGTGGCTGCTGCCTGCTGGCTTCAGCAGGAACATGAGGTACAGTTGTGTCAGGAGTATGACAGTTCAGATCCACTGGTGTTTCAGCTGCTTAGTCCCCTGAGTCCTTACTGTCAGAGTGAGGAGTGTATTTCAGTCGAAATGTCCCTGTGAAACACAACAGAGAAATACAGTTGCTGTGTGAAGCTTTACAATGCCTCAATAGTACGATAATAGTAAGACATACAGCAGTAGACCTTCTGTGCTTGATGAAAAAAAACTATTCTTATGTATTTATGGATAAATTATAAGTTGTACCACAGAAAAAAGATAAGTGGATTCTAATGTTTCAAAGGCCACATTGAATTGTGTAAACCAATTACAATAGGTGCTTTTATTAATAGAGCTTGAACTGCATTTACATTTTTAGGTGACAGACCTGCTTGTTTTTATGTCTCGAAAAGAAAGTGAAACTGTATGTATAAAGGCATTGTGAGATGGAACACACACATTAGTAAAAGGGACTTTGATTGATCATTATTGAATTAAACACTGAAAAGGTCTATCAGGAAGTAATTATAGTCCATCTGTTCACTCGTTGACTCACCTTGCTGTGCTGAATCCATGGGCGGATGTTTGCACTCCTCTGCTCTGTGCCCGTTGGCACCACAGTTATAACACGACAAGTTCCCAGCTGCCCGTTTCTGCCCTCCATTTCCCACAATGCCATGGGGCTGGTAGAGGGCAAAGCCCTGCTGCTGGTCATGTGACACAGGGCTGTGGCGGTAGAGGGGCGGTGGCATCATCATCGGGTAGGAGAAGGGTGTGGTGCCGGCAGCGTTTGACGAGGCAATCAGGGGGCTGAGATGGAGCAGAGGACCCAGAGTAAAGAGGGAGGGGCCGGCTGAGAACGGCTGCAGGTAGCCAGCTGCTGCGTATCCAGGCAACGCCCTATAGGTGCCGCAGTTCCCCCGACAACCGCAGGAGCTGCAGACACACACGGAGGGGGTGTGACCTGAACTTTGATCCAATGAAGAGATTGAGGAGGGGGAAGGGGAGGGGCTAGAGGTAGGTTGGGGCGGGTAGTATGTGTTGCCCGGCACTGCAGCCACAGGAACACTGCTTGCGGTTGCCATGGGAACAAAGCCACCATCACTACTGGAGCTGCCAGACTGTGAGCCAGACTTTGTGGAGGCACAGGAGGAGGAGGAGGAGAAAGAAGAGAAGGAGGAGGAGGAGGAGGAGGAGGAGCAGGAGGAGGAGGAGGAGGAGGAGGAAGGTGGGTAGGAGTAGTATCCAGATGGAGAGGGGGATGAAGAGGACGAGAGGTGGAAGTGCAGAGGGGGGTGGGAGACGTGGTGGAGGCTGTTGGAGGTGGAGGTCATAGCAGAACTGGTTTCTACCATCAGACCCACAGCACCTCCCGCCAGGCCACGGCAAACCACCGAGTCCTGGAGCGTGGAGGAGCTGTCTGTGTTCAGCCCAGGGAACAGGTTCTCCAGCCTCACCCCCATCCCCACACTGAGCCCCGTACTGAAGCCCGCACCAGCTGCAGGCAGGCCCGAGCCCAGCGGCTTAGTCCTGTCCTCCGTGCACAGTGGAGGGGGCCTGGGCTTGCGCGGGGAGGTCAGGATCCGTGCTGGGTTTGAGACCGGGGAGAGCAGGGTTTGGGGGTAACTGGCCTGGGGGTGGTAGGGAGAATGCGGGAGGCCAAAGGAGCAGGAGGGAGGGAGAGGAGGAGCTGGATCGGTTTGGACAGGTAGGACCTGGGCTGTGGGGCGACTGGAGCCTGTGGGGCAGCTGGAGTTCAGGATGAAGAGGCAGGACCGGTCCTTCTCTGGACCCCCTCCTGCTGCGTCTGGACCTGACACACCTGGAAAACACATACATGGTGGTGGAGCTCATTTTAATCTCTATGTGTGTATGACTGAATATCAGATAGAGGAAGGATCCTGCCTGACCTCACAGACAGTATAAATATGGTAGGTTCCAATAAAAAGTACACAATATCAAAAATGTTTCTTTAAAAAAGGTATTAATAATAATAATATTGCATTTTCTCATTAATTATTAATTTATTGGGCTTGTACAGGACAAATTACACCCACCTGGCCCAAACCCAAGTTATTAATATCAGACACAAACTGTTACAATATAAATGACTGCTCAAGACTTAAGATAAACGTATAAAATGTAAATGATATTCTGTTTCAATGAAGTCCATGAATTTGAGTTTATTTCATATAACCTGTGAGGATTTCATTTTTCATTTTGTTACAGGCCAAACGTGTAATGGCTTTAAAATGGAAGGACAAAATAATGGGATAAATAGAGGTATTGCTGATATTGTATGGAAGAAAAGAAGGGTGTTTAGTATACATATAATTAGTAGTATATATAATGTATGTTGGATTGGTACATGGATGTATGGGACGAAATGAAAACTTCATGTTACGATTATCTTGGCCAAAATAAGTGCGATACACGATATTATCAGCATAATCATGAATTTCTTTTTTTAAATGGCAGCAAACATACTGGAATCACTTTACCTTACATTTAGTTAAGAAACAATTTATTGCATCACAGATAGGCACCTAATCTCCCTGTCCCTGGAATTTATACCATTTCCATTTACAACAGGCAAGCCGAGGCTTTGTTAAAAATAAATCAGGAAATCAATATAGGGCTGCCAAGGGAGGATATTCATCATTATCCCGATTCACAATGATTTCGCTAATGGAAATTCACCAGTGTCATATATCATATATGGCCCCTTCCCTAGGATATGTATGTATAGTATAGTATAGTATTGTATTGTATAGTCTTCTATAGTACTGTATAGTATTGTATAGTATAGTATATATTCAGTTTGTTGTTTTTTTACTTCCATAATAATACAGAGGAAGTATCTTTTGGTCCAACATTTGCTACTACATGTGTGTGTTAACAACAGGGAAAGTAGGGAGATTTCTGTTCAGTCCATACTGATGTCAATCTATCCTCATTACTTTGTACATGACTGGTGATACATCGATAAAGAATAAGCAAATAATACATTTCAAAACTGCCTCCTTCATCATTATTATTCTGTGATGATTCAGGAGCCCTGCGAGAAATCTTACGCCTGTGAATGTCTCTGGTCCTGTCGAAGGTGGGGTCACAGCAGAGGGGTGTTCTGGGGGAGCAGGAAGAGCTGGAATAGCCTGAGGACGAGCTGCTGTCTGTTGAGACGGGGTGATGGTGCGGCACGGTGTCCACCTCCACTCGCAGCTCACCTGAAATACATTTCAATACACCGCGGTTGTTGTAGTCTTTTTTAAACTGAGCATGGTAGCTGTTTCATAATCATTGTGACCACTTTTTGGTTCTCTGGCAGTAAATATTTTTTCCTGTCTCACATTTAAACTTATGTGACCCAAAGCAGCTTTGTTACCTGCAGTGGAGGTGGGATGTGTTGAGGGTCCCATGTGACTGGAAGGCATCACCCTGGCGATGCCGCTGCAGGACCGCTTCTCCATCTTCATCTCCCTGCTGGACACACACACAGGCAGAGAGGTTTGACGCATGTTGTGGTTCCTTCTGTTCTGGCATCATCACGTTTATATTTAGAAGCTATTTTTTAGCATAAATATAAGGCAGCAAATCATTTTATGATCATTTTTAAAGCTAGATTTTTGCTGTTTTTAAAGGAATGTTCATGTGATGGATGGTGGATGGATCAAAAATGCTTTACTTCTAGACTGGAACAGAACATCCCAAATGCCATGCATTAAACATTTTAAAATCTCCTTAAAGTTATGTTAGAAACCTGTTGACAGGAGTTAAAAGGCAGCTTCTGTCCACCTATCGCCACCAGAGGGAGACATTGTCCACTCAACATATTCCTTAACATCAGCATCCCAACTGCTCCTCTACTAAACATCTGCAAACCTGACACATGGAAAACCACTGCAGGAACTTTCCATGTTCTGTGTCTTGTTTAAGCATGCTCATACACAAACACACACACACACACACACACACACACACACACACACACACACACACACACACACACACACACACACACGCTGCCACCTGCCTAATGGAAACCTGTTGATACTGGGCATGGAAACAAGAAGATCAACAGATAATGAGAGCAGGTTCACATGTGAGGAACCCAGGTGTGTGTGTGGGTGGACGTGTTTGTGTAAGAGAGCGTGTAGGCGCATTTGCTTGGATGTCCATGTTTTTGTGTATTTGCATGTGTTTCTGTTGGTTATCTCTTCAGAAGTACATCTTATCTCTGCAGCCCACCTACAGCTGGTTAACCATTGACACTGTATGGACCGTTAGCGCTGAATATTTATTGTTTAAATCAGCAGCCGATCAGTCCATCTGTTAAACATTAATAGGACGAAGCATATACTGACTTCAGCATAGACTGCCACAAATATCTGCACTGTAAAGGGTACTGAAATGAATACAAGCCTCATTTTAAGTCACTAGTTCTGTTAAATAACAGATAAGATAACATATACTAATGCTGCAACATATACAGCAACATATCTTCATTATGAGGACTGACTGAATATAATGTAAAATGAGTAGTTATTCTAACTGAAGCTGCCTTTGTATAGCAACAGCATCACTTTCCAGTACTTCAAAGCTGTATCCACACACAGCACCTACAACATTTGGGAATTTCATATTGACAAAACCATTATGCAAGCAGAAAACAAATTCAAGCTGTAACTAATATGCTAGTCAAGATTAGTGGACAGATTTGTAACTGCAGAATTTTTCTGAGTGATTTTGTGCGCCCTGAGTTCAAAATCTGCTCTCCTGATTTGTTCCAGATGTTCTGGCACATTCTGAGCATGTGAGAGGATGCATGCTAAAGCCACTGAGATGTCACTCTGAAAGCAGGGTCTAACAGGCTCACACTTTACTTTCACATCAAATCCAAAAATGTTTTGCTCTCTGGAGTTTGCACACAAGGGAAACAATGAGCACTGTGTTTAAGAAACAAACCCATATCTTTGTTCAAAAGCTTTACTGGGTAAATTACTGCAGTACATATCCATTTTACTGACATTTTACTCCACTAGCTATAACACTTGGTTATAACTACCCTCATAGTTCCAGACACCCAAACAGAGCTGAGTAAAGCTGCCTTTTCCTTTCACGCTTTGCACGCTTGGAATGAGCCGCAAGGCATACTTTGCCGTCTCTTGACACGTTCAGGAATATTTTAAAATCAGTGTTTACAGAAGTTACAGTTATTTATTTTAACAAGTGCCATTATTTGATGATATTTTTTAGCCCCTGACCCCAGTATGTTTTGTATTTGTTTGTTGTGTTTTAGTTTGGTATGTTCTTGTGATGTTATCTGTCCCTGTCTGTACTTTTATATGAAAGCTTTTTATTTTATTTTTTGCTGCCTTGACTCAAGAACAGGAAATATTGTTATCTCAAGGGGGGCTTTCTGGCTAAATAAATCTGTCCTCTCACACACTGAATTACTGATTAATTACTGTAGCTCTTTATTGGTTTTGTTTTTCAGCTTCCATACAAACAACTAATCAACGATCCATTCAGCTGACAAAAGTCAGCAAAAAAATTTTTTCTCATCCATTAGATATAAACAAGTTTATGTAGTACTATACCATGAACATAGATAATGCCACACTATACTATACTCCTATCAAACCTCAGTGCTGCTTTTGTTGGCCTAACAATATTAGTGGACAGATTTCGAAAAAGTTCTAAATTACGCCGACCAGCAACTCTAAAGCTCAGTATTTAATACATTATCTCCTTTTTTAAATTTGTACACTAACAGACATATAGGTATAAATGACTGTTTGTGATTTTCGAGGGTGTAACATAATGTAACTGTGTCTTGACAGGAAACAAATCTGTTGTTCACCAAAAAATATTTACAACATGTAGCTACAATGACAGAACAAATCATATAAATTCACTTTATAGCTTCATCTCTCATGTTTGTATATGGATCAAACAAATCAGATTAACCATGTTATTTATTTATGTGTGCTTTAGAAGTGCTGGCAGGCATATTTTTGAACTTTTGACAGAGCCAAGCTTGCCATTTGCCCCTAATTGCCTTCTGGCAAGTTTCCGACTTGACAAAAACAAAGTAAAAAAATATAAAAACACTGGATTAGTGATATCTGCAGCTTACTCTACTGACTTTTGTAGCTCTAGTTGTGTCTTGAGTTTCTTCTTTGCTCCTTGGGTCAGGTCGTACTTGTTCAGGTCCTCCTCTGTCAGCGCTAAAAACTGTCGGTAACACAGAGGAACAGGTTGAAAACTGTATATGTATAAGAAAAAGAGACTTACAGGTTTATTTGTAAGTGTAAAAAGCATACACATGACCCACAACTTGGAATACATATTTTGGTGAGTGTACTAGTTGTTTCCTGAATGATATCTTGAATTAACATATTACAGGACAGAATGTAAAGCTGACTCACCTCCTCCATGGTGAGCTGTTTGAAGACGGGGTAATACTTGTGGAGCCGAAGCCTGCGGAGCCAGTCCAGGATGCCATTCTGCTCTGGGGTGTTGGGCTGGGATTGGCATGGGCCCTGTGTATGGGACTGGGAACGGGACAGGGAATGGGACTGGGTGTATAAAAGGGACTGGGAATGTGAGTGGGATGTTGGCTGGGAATGGGACAGGTGCAGGGACTGAGGCTGTGCGGTGGACTGACTGCTGGTTTGTGGATGAAGGTGGTGCTGGGAGTGCTGCTGGGGCTGAGAGTACGAGTGTGACTGACTGTGTTGGGGATGCGGCTGGGAGGAGGGATCACCTCCGACTGCCATGGAGCACTGGGTGGGCACAGAGGGAGGGAGGGAGGGCAGCTGGGGTGAGTGCTGTGGAGGAGGAATTGGAGGAGGAAGAGGTGGAGGAAGGGAGGAGAGGTGAGAAGAAGGGCGAGTCAAGACAGGGCTGTGGGTGCTGACGACGGGCTGGACGCTGGCCACTCTGTATACCGCCCTGAGAGAGGAAAGACAGTCTGATGAGGCACAAATGCTGATGATGACAATGAAAGACAAAGAGAGAAGAAATCTTACCTGTTGGTTCCTCTGTACTGAACCATACAGCCAAGATCTGAAAGACAAAAAGACATCTTCATCATCTTTAGTGTAATCTGAAAGGATGTAGATAAGGAATGAATTTTGAAAACTGCATCAGTTTACTGATTGGTTTTCCATAATTGTAGATTTACAGATTTTTTACAGTTGGTTACACACATTTTTCACTAATTTCACAGCTCCTCACACAGTGAGCACAGCAGCAGGCAGTGTGGATTAAACAGTGAATCACTTTTCATTGCTTTGATACAAAATGCATTCAATGACCCCAGCTTTCAAAATGCATGAACTGTCACTAAACAAAATAATATTCATATTTACACTCCATTTTGCATGTTTACTTAATATTGTAGAAGTTGTTAAATTCACACTGAAAACCCAACATAACGCACAGTGACTGTAAATTGGACTGAAATTAGTTGCATTCTACGTCTAAAGAGAAATCATGCATGAACTCTTATTGGGACACTGAGCGTCTGGTTTCCTTCCTCGCAGCAGGTGAGGACAGTGCAGCAGAATCCAGAACATTTTGGAGTTGTATGTGACGATGTGGCGTTTCACCGTTCTCTTCCAGTCACAGAAGGTTTACAGCCAATCCCAGTGTGGTGTCACTTTTCCTTCCACCTTACTCTCCATTCCTCAACCCCACAGAGGAATTCTTTTCCTCGTGGAGGTGGAAAGTTTATGACCAGCAGCCACATGATCAGATGTCCCTGTTGGACACAATGCATGCTGGGAGTGTGGATATATCTGCAGAAGATTGCCAGGGATGGATCGGACATGCAACAAGATTCTTTCATGAGAGAGCATGAGGTGTGATATTTATGAAAACGTATGGCCAAATCCAGAACACAGGGTGGACTAGCACTGTTGTATTTCTTTAAGCATACAAACAAGAGTGTACAGTGAATATGTGTAGTTTTGTATTGCATTGCTGGGATTACTTCAATTTCATTTTCTGAAAAAAGCCTATTTAAGCATATTGCAGCACTGATTGATTTCTGACACTGTAAGGCAGCACAGTCCACACAAAGAAGTAAACTTCTTTTTGTTGCAATGGAATCTTGGTTCATGATAAATCAAAGATATTTTTACAGAGACAATAGTGACTAATTGTAAAGGTACCTGTTGTTAGTGTTACTACTGGCAGACAAATGTTGTCAGTGTTTGGGTACACATGTTGAAACAGGACAATACAATACATTAGTCCAATAGTGTGAGGCAATAAATAGAATCAATATGATAATAAATACTATAAATATATAATAATACTAATACTATGCCTTGAATATTTTGATATTATTGGGATTGCTCTGTTGGTTATTTAATATGCAATGGAAAAATGGTAACTTCTTTAGTATGTAAGTATTCACGGTGGTGTACTTTGTAACATTGTTTTCATCATTTATAATTGACAATAGTGCAAACACAGTGCTAATGGAATTGCCATCTCTAGATCCTACAGTAAAAATGTAAGACAGCAACATCTAATTCCTGTACTGCTTTTATGGTTTACTTAAGCCCCTGCAAGAAACTTTCAACACAAATTGAAAGCTGACAAAGGCGGTAGTGTTTCGTTTAATTGATTTCAAGGGGAATCGGACCAAATTTGACCTCCCATATCATGTGGGAGTGTCCATCAGTTTGGAGTTTCTGGGAACAATTTACAAAAACTATTTGTGAACCACTTGGTGCAGAGATTGACTGCTCCCCAGAATGGATGCTGATGAATGATGATTCCAGGCAGAGATTAAGATCATACAGAGATTTAACTATACTCAAAGACAGCTGTGGCTATCAGCATGCATTGTTGCTAAAAAGATGGTGGAGGTCAGGCGGCAACCACACATTCGTTCTATTAATCATTGGAATCTTTAATAAAGATTTTATCTATGCAGCGCTCTGTTGCCAGGATGAACGGGACAGGCCAGGTCATGCCCAGGGCTAGGAAGGAGGAACTCAATGCAGCTAGAACCGTGATATAAATGTTTATTTTTATTAACTTATTTACTTTGCAGTGCACTATGCTGCTGGAATTTATGGGGGAAGGGGTTAGGTCAGGGATAAGGAGCGATCAAAGTTGCAGGTGTATGCTTTCTTTTGCACAGCTGTATCTTTACTGTCTAAGTCATAATGGTGTGACTGTATTGGAGTTAAAACATTAACATATGAATTTACTTAAAAAGGTAAGGTCTTATTTATTTGCCTGTCTTATAATGCCCTGGTATGCCTATATGTTATTCTACAGACAAATGTTATTTGTTGATGTACACTTGTGGAAAATAAAATAAAAGTTGTTGTAAAAAAAGAAGAAATATCCATATTCTTGCCGACAGTCTTGGAGGTAATATTGAGACATCAGTATTACATTGAGACCAGTTAAAAACTCTTCAAGGATTTTAATATATTTAATATCAATGATTCAGGAATTCAGTGTTTTTGTCACAAAGTAACTTCTAGAAACTGAACTAATTACTACTGGATATGCATTTTTGTTTTAGACATAATTTGTTATTGTGGATTACTTTTAAGTTAAAATGCAAAGACACTATACTGCTTACTTAGACGATTGTATTAAATATTTTTACCAATTGCAATATGAGAATTTTAAATGTAAATCTTGACTGTATGAGTCATAACTGCAACCTTTCAAAGGGTCTTACCAATAAGACAACCTATTAAGACCTTGCAGACTTGGTGAGGCATCATTTTATTCTCGTCTGAAAGCAGTGTCAGCTGTGTGTTTATTGAGATGAACCCATTAACCAGAAGCACACATGCAGTGACCCTTGTGTTCATCGCAATAAATATGATATTGCAGCCCTGATATTCAGCTTATGAAGAACGGACTATGATATATTGTGGTGGAGGGCAGAGCTTTGTGTGTTTGTGGAGGCAAATTACAGCAGAGTCATACACATTCATATTAGCCTTGTTCCCTGGTGTCCCTGGGGGCCCACATGTGCACACAGAAACACCGTGAGGTAGAAACACATGCAAAAAGTACAAGCACACACAGATATACACTGCACTGGTGGCTATAAATATACTCCGGGATGAAGTCACACTCACAGAATCAAACACACACACCAACATGAGGTCACCACACTCCAGGCTTCCCAACACAAACATGCCACGGTGAATTCCCACACCAGACTAAAATAGACCCTCTCCGCTCCCTCCGACACCTCCAAAACACAAACTAAAAATCCTGCCTGCAGTCTCACCTCTGCACTCCCACCAACAAGACCTACGCTCACGGTCTCGTCCTATGCATTACCTCTTTTTTCGGTCTTCTCTTTCACTCACCTCCAACATCAAAACCCAGACATGGAATGTTTTATCTTGCCCTGTCCCTCCTTGGCACCTTCATTCCCTGCACCTAAGAATAGGGACCTCCTGTTTTATATCCCTGCTGCCCTCTGTAAAAGACTCACTGGTTTTATAGACTCTGTTGCCACACGCTCATGACATCTGATCTAACCTGAAACATATCTAATGATTTCTGCTGTACGTCATCATCTATTTCTCAACATCTAAAAAAAAAGAAAAACATATTTTTTATTTTCTCCCCTAAGCAGTTGCCAGTGCCATTGTATGTACGCAATGCATGTTTTGCACCGTCATGCTAATCCTGTCTCGTCATCCAGTGTATTAAGGTCTGTCTTGTCTTGTCTCACCTGTTATGTCTCGTCTCACAAAATAAAAAATAAATAAAAAATAAATTAAGGGAATGTCATTGAAAATAATAGAAAACAAAGACTTACTAGAGCTGGAGGTGAGCGGGCAGGTCGGGGCTACAGGGGCCATAGGAATAGGGGGGGATAACGGAGGGAGGGAGGCAGGACAGTTGGGTGAGAGAGGCCTGGCGGAGGTAAAGAACAGCTGGACGCTGTGGTGCTGGAGGACATGGCAGGGCAGCATTGTCAGACACCTGGGTGTAGGCAGAGAGACAGGACAGCAGGGGGACAGACAGGGAGTCAGGGAGGCCAAATAAAGTCAACTAGAATTAAAAACTGCTCGGAGGTTGGATTAAGAAAAAGGCTGCACATCTTCACTGCTGGCCAGACAACTGACAAGCAAGCAAAGTGATTATGGTATTTTACAGATGATGTGTTTACAACAAGAATGCTGGAGGATTAAAGGTACCCTGAGGAGTTTTTGACCAATTTGGTGCACACGGATGGACATGTAAACACACGTGGTGATACAATACACATTTCTGCCAAGTTTCATGCTATTTTATTCTGTTAGATGAAGACATTAACACACCATGAAATGCTGAAATGCACCAACATAACACAGTGAGGAAGACGACTGTAAGCAAGCAAACACAGATATTAACAGTGCAGGGTTTTAATTATTCCAGAAATTTGCTCATGAGCCATTCATTTCTAAAAGAGTTCAATTAAGCTGGAACGCTCCTCACCATGATAGGACAAAAACACAACACAACATAACACTTTTCAAGGACTTAAAAGGGAACCTGGCAACTCTAGCCATTTCTTTGCTGGTTTTCACCTTTGTCGTCGCATGTTTTCTCAACGAGCTCCCCCTACAGCTCTAGAACATATATTTCAAAACACACTTGTGGCACCCTCCTCCCCCTTCCTACCGCTGCTGATGTGCATTTGTTGCCGGGCAACTTTTTCATGTGGAGCAATGTCTACCGAGGTGGGTAATACATTCATCGTCGCTTGTTCTTATAGCCGGCGGGCTAACCGGTATTGAGGGGCGCACATGCGTTTATGTGGAATTGCCGTAAAGCAGTTTGTGTTTCTCGCTCGTTCACGCTTCTCACGATACTTCCTATTTCCAACTTAACGGGACGGTAGTCCCAAAGTTGCAAGGTTGGTTTTCCGCCTGGGGACGCTAGGGGGAGTGGGAAAAGTCACCATTTTCACCGGAACAGGCCATTTAACCTTCCAAATTATTTCAAAACGGGTTTATTAAGTTGAAATAGTTGCCAAGTTCCCCTTTAAATAAACAAAGGGTTTTGGGACTAACCTGGGGTCCAGCTCTATGGACTGAGGGAGGAATTTCTCCACTGCTTCATCAGGAAATGCTTGCGACAGCTTCGGGAGAAATGTTCAACAACAATTAAGAAATAACAAATACTAAATCAAGCACATTGTGTCATTACACGTCTATGCTGATGATACCAAGCTATACATTCCTACAAAACCTGAATGTTTAAACAGCATGATACTTCACGTAATTAAGAGAAATTATCTGTTTACCATCATTAAAGCAGAAACAGAGTGGGAAGTCGTTAATGCATTCATTCATCATTTTATGGGGCCTTTACACTTGTATAAGGTCAATCTGTGGAATAAACACTACTAAAAGGTGTCACCAGTCGCTGAACTTGAGTGTAGCCCGAGATTATTAATATTATCAATCAAGGAAGTTTGTTTCAGAGATGGTCCTGACCTGGGACAGCAGCTCCGTCAACTCCTGCTGAGTTCTGACAACGGATGACACAAAACCATCTGACCAGCTTGCCTGGAGGCGGGAATAAAAAGGAGGAAGGATAAGGAGAAAGGGAAGGTGGAGGCGATGAAGTAGAAAACCAGGTGGAATAAGGGGGTAAAAACATGAAGAAATGAACAGAGAACATTTGGAAAAGCGTGTCAAAAGCATGTGTTGTTCTGTGTTTACACTAGACCCACCTCGAACACATATTCACTGGTGTCTTCTGACTTGTGTGTCACTCCTCTCAGCACCACCCTCTCAATCCCCACTGAAAGGAGCACAGATTGTTTCACAGATGATTAACCACATTTCACAGGTTTGAGACAGTTGCTTTAACACATCAGTCATTTAAGGTTGATTAGCATGAATGGCCTGGAGGGATTTAAACTCAGTACTATATCATACTATATATTCACTAATAAATCAGATGAGGACAAAACCAGAAGATAGTTTAATCTTGTCATCGGGTGTAACTTCACCGACTGTGATGTGAACTGGCCAGCCGACTGTACTGTTCATGCTTTGTCTCAACTCCTTTGCCCCATAGCAGTGTACAGTTAGTATAGTGTACAGTGCAGAAGGTTGGAGGGATTGTTGACCATCCTCAGTGACTACATGTCGATGACTTCTCCAGGTGCTAAGATTTCATTCCTTTATTATGTTGCTGACTAACGCTCTTTTTCCCCATCTACATGCATTTTAATGGTTCAAAGATGGAGGACAGCGCTATGAGTGGGTGGCTGGTATTGCAAGACATGTAGTTCTCAAGAAAAACTGTCATATGACAAACATATGCATCCTGCGCTGCAGAAAAAAAACCTGGTTACAAGTGTGTGTTGTCACTATATTACTTGGAAATTGAATATGGGCGAGTTGGGCGTATCGAGATGGGCGTTTTTTCACAACTTTTCACCATATTAAAGACTCAACATTTTAGGGGTGTACACTATTACTAATATATAGTGTCAGATGACAGATACTGTCAGAGGACAATATATATCAATACAGTGATATAAAAGTACATAATGTTTATACATGAATTTAACTATATTGCCCATTCAAAAAACATTAAATCAGCTAACTGAAAGAATAATCCACTAGTATTCTGATAGTTGCAAATCTATTTGCTATCCTGCTAATTCAGTAACTCTTGTTACTCTCCATCTTCATCTACCAATGAGTCAAATGCACCAGACTAATCTGTGTTGCTTTCCGATTCATCCTTGAAGATTTGTCGGCTACCCACTCATCGACACTTGGAGATCTCTGGCTCTGTACACTCACTGTCCAGCAGTTACCTGACTGAACATTTTGTCCTTTAGATAAGGCTTAAATCTTGGCATTAACTACCGCGTACTATATATGCACTCTAATTTTCCATCTGGACAGAAACTCTGTCCACAGCTGCTCCTGCACAACTCATTCAGGATGGTACTGGATTCGACCTCCCCCACTTCTGCTGTCTGTCTGGTCCAACCTTTTACTATCACCACTGACTGCCTGTAGCTCTTTGTATTACATGTAAAACACTGGTACAGGCCTTCAAGACTATTAACACAGTTACATCTTAAGACTCTCTGAGTAATAACTCAACCTAAGGTTATATTGGCTATTGGCTGATCTATTGTTGGTTTTTCTTTTTAGCCAACTTTTTGGACGATTTTAGTTTTTTTAATTTAATGGTGTGCCTCAAAAGAAGAGTGCCGCTGCTTAGCAGCACAGTACACACACTGAGCCAACGAACAAGGGAGAGGAAAAACAGCTGTAGAGCCGGAATATTTTCACATCTAACTTAGTTAGAGAAGTTAGAGTTGCTGACTGTTGGAATGGTGAAAAGACTAATAAAAATGATTTTGGTGAGTTTATTTTGTTTCTGTCAAGTTTGAATGAAGTGTGTTTTAAGCTTGCTCAAGAAGGCCATTAAGCTGGTTTTAGTTCAGTAAACAGAGAAACTTTAATTCAGAAAGTGTATGTGTAAGTGTAAAGTGTATTTTTCTGTTTAATGAGGAGTATTTTTTATATATTTCCTTCCTTTTCTTGACATTTTGTGGATTTATTTTGTTTATTAAAGCTATGAGAGCTTGTTCCATGAGGGAAACTATGAAGCTGAAACTGCTGCTGCTACGACTTTTGTACTTAACACTTTTTACAATAAATATATAAATCTGTCTGTACTCACATTTGAGTGACGCATTCATATGTGTGCAGAGGCAGGTTATGGGTGCTCCACTGCCATTACATTAATGTCATTAGATACATGGTGAGTTGAAATAGTGGGTACAGTGTGTGTGTGTGTGTGTGTGTGTGTGTGTGTGTGTGTGTGTGTGTGTGTGTGTGTGTGTGTGTGTGTGCGTGTGTGCGTGCAAAAGACCTCCAGGTATCGATTCAGACATATTAGACTCCAAAATATTCCATTTGAAACCACGAGGCGTGCAGGAACAAGCAGCAGGGGAGGGGGAAACATGAGCGAAAGGGAGGAGACAAATAAAAAGGGGGATAAAGGAGTAAAGAGAGAGGAGGAGCTCTCACCACACACACACACACACACACACACACACACACACACACACACACATCCCTCACCACCTAGCTGTGTGCCTGTTAGACAGCAGCTGTAGAAGGCTCTAAATGCCGCCTGCCATTCTTACTAATCTAGGCTGCCACACACACACACACACACACACACACACACACACACACACACACACACACACACACACACACACACACACATACGCACTTTATGAAGTCCAGGAGTGTGTGTGCAGGACATGATGATGTAATCCAAAGAAGAGTTTCAGTTATTTGCTATAGAGATAATACTATATATTGATAAATATCCTTCACGTTTCCTTAGTGTTTTTATTACTTTACAACTACAGTTTAAGTGTGTGTGTGCTAGAAACACACATCGTAAAACCAACCCATGAGGCGTGGCTCATTCTGCCTGGCCTGAGGTAGCCAACGCTGTAAACTTAATTGTGTGTGCCAGTGAGAATGTGTGAGTACACTTCTCTGCATTTGTGTTTTATGTGTTTCTACACACTGAATACAACTGTGTGTGTGTGCGTGTGTGTGTGTGTGTGTGTGTCTGTGTGTGTGTGTGTGTGTGTGTGTGTGTGTGTGTGTGTGTGTGTGTGTGTGTGTGTGTTTTCTGCTGGTGACAGCTATGTAGTATGACCATGAGCTAGTGAGATAGTTGAGAATTGTGTTACAGACAGAGGCAGGGGGCCAAGACAATAACAGACTGGACTGGAGAGGCTAGCCCCACCTAAAACCACATACTGTACACCAGCGGGTCACTGGGTGATTGATCGAAAATGAATAATAATGGAAGATAATCTGATCGAATTGTCTTATGAAAACGGATAATTCAGTGAGTGTGACCTAGAATCAGTACAACACACTGCTGTCAACTTTGTCTTAATGTGTGTTTAGAATATGCTATCATGCTGGGGTAAGATTTTTACTCTTTTGCCCCATTTATTTTTAAAGACCCTCCCTCATTCACTGTCTATGTAACTCAACCATAGCTGTCTCTCTCTCGCTCAAACAGACACAAACCAAAGGACTGTGGCGCAGTTTGACCGGGTTGCAATTCTCCAAATGTTGATTATTAAAAGTTTATTACGAAAACCACAGTGCCTGATTCATTTTGAATCGCCACCTAATGTGGGACAATTTACACCTTTCTCAATCAATCAGTCCTTTTTTATGGCAGACATCTCGTCATAGCAGGAAATGCAGGTAAAATTAATTACGTTAAAAGGTTGCTCAGTTCCAAGAAGTGTCCTAGTAAGCCATGACAGTGAGCCAGGCCAGCATGCACAATACTAGGACCTTGGAACTGGCTCACCTAAATGGATTTTTCATGTTACCAGTTACACTGTGCTTTTCCTGCTATGACAAGACGACATGTCTGCTGTCAAAAATGTCTGTGACTCTATTTAGGGGCAATTTTACTGAAGAACAATATGATACATTTATGGTGGATCATTGCGGAAAAAAAATGTTGATCCATTCTCTCTGTTTAAATTGCCGCAAGTTAAAAAAATCTGTGTAATATGGTTCGCCCACAGTTACAAATCAGTATCAGTATCACAGAATGCTTTTTAGCCTTTTTTAGGTAATTGTTTTTGTTTTACTGCACATTTATAGAATCATAAAAATCATTTACATTGATTTTGTTTTGTTTCTAGTTGCAAGTAGAGTTGTTGGAGTTCAAAACAGAACAAAAACCGAAGAGGATATCGGAAGTACATTTGTAAGACAACTCCAAGTGAATGCTAATGTGGCTCCATGTCTGCTGAATGTTTAACATGTTAAGTAACACTTAAAACGTCCCTAATCAATATTTCTATATTACAATAGTCAAATGACTATGTGTAATGTGCAGTGCTGTCAAACAATTAAAATATTTAATTGTGATTAATCGCATTAATGTCACAGTTAACTCGCAATTAATCGCACATTTTTATCTATTCTAAATGTCCCTTGATTTCTTTTTGTCCCATTATTTTTTCTCATTGTAATACTCTTATCAACATGGAAAAGTGGATCGGCTTGCTTTGTGCAAATGTTTTTTTTAATTGAAAAATCATCCATTGTCGCCTGGCTTTGACGAGGAGGCGGAGCATTCGCATCAGCTGTGTGCTTGGCCATCAAGTGGTATTTCAGACTGGACGTGCTGCGATGATAGCTCAGTTCACAACGACAAAACACACAGATCACTTTGGTCTTGTCAATGGAACCATTTGGAAACTTTTTAAAAGTAAACTTTCCATTCAGAATATTATTGGTATCCATTTCGGCGTCTCGCACTCGCCATCCACTCAAAACGTAACGTCTACTACTCTTAAACAAGTGTGTGCGGCGTGCCTGTTGTTTTGTTTCCGGTCTAGCTAGATCCGGTGTGGTGTTGTAGTTTTTCTAACGTTACTAGTTGTTGCAACAGCATGTGAAAAAAACTACAAAGTTTGCTAGGTCAAAAAGAACGTTAATCTCACAATAAAAAAATGTACGCCGTTAAAATGGGTTTGCGTTAACGCCGTTAATAGCGCGTTTAACTGACAGCACTAGTAATGTGACAGGGGTCGTATGAATCAGCAGTTCCCCTCAGTGCTACAAAACATTTTTAGTGTCTTTCAGCTCATTGTTTTGGTTTTGTAGCCTTTAACTGTTTTGGTTCACTCTTCCCACTCCTTCAAATTGGACCATCAACACCAACCACATTATCAAACAGGACCAAACTGGGGCGGAAGATCACTTAAGCCTCCAACATCAGTGGTAGTTAAGTGCACCTTCCACAGGGTAGTCAAAATAACCTTCGACCACTCCAACCCAGCCCACCACCTCTTCTTCTTCTTCAGCTTCTCCCTTCTGGAAGGCACTACAGGTCCATATCAAGACATACCACCTGATTCAAAAACATCTTCTTTCTTACAGTAGTCAGAACACTTAACACCACTTGCTACCACCACTATACACCTCTGAGATGTGTTCTGCCACCCTGATACACAGGAGGCGAACTTATGGATGAAACAGAATAATTCGACTTATTAGACAAAGGGGGGAAAACATGGGAATGTACTGTAGAAATGCCTGACAGGCTGATTTATCTTAATTGAAGAAAATACTGATATAGATCGTAAAGTTTTATCACAACAGGGATTGTTGAAGGTTTAGTGATGATTGCCCTGACTGATCATTCTGAACCTGAAACCACATGCATCCTTAAGTGATATACAACACTGCAGCTCACTCTCACTCACTCACTCACTCACTCACTCACTCACTCACTCACCACACTCACACACACACACACACACACACACACACACACACACACACACACACACACACACACTTAAGCCTTAGGGAAGCATTCTTTAAGCTTAGTTTTAGTGTTCAGATGTGCCAGCATGCCACATCTTGTCTAACCGGGCTTAAGTGAGCATATAGAATGACACACACACACTTCATGCTGATATGCACAGATGGGGGGTGGGGTGAGCCCACACATACGAACATACAGTAAGTCAGACAGAGAGACACTGCGATCAAGAAAAGCACAGTACAGCAGAAAGTATTTCCAATTACCAGTCCCTCCAGGAAGTTGATGTTATGATCGCAACAGTTAACACAAATTCAACCAATCCCCGTGAATTCTTTTATCACATTTAAGAATGCAACAATCCCAAAAAAAGTCTGAAAAATCTTGGAGTGGACTGCATTACAGGAGCCCATATGTACTGTAAATAGTACAGGATTATTGTAAGTGTTCTTCTTTGAGTGAAGCAATCATTTAGAAATGTAGTAGAATATAAAAACAAGAACTTTTTAATGACTTCTCCAGCAGCTCACCTTTTCCTGCTTTCCCTTGGTGGTTCTTGGCTGGTGCTGCTGCATCCTGGCCTTGCCCAGCAGGTAGAGGAGGAGGCAGATGAGGAGGTGGTGGTGGAGGAGGAGGAGGAAGAGGGGGGGGAGGAGGAGGAGGAGGAGGAGGTGGTGGAGGGAGGTCCGGGTGAGGAGGGGTGAGCTCCTGGCTGACAAATTGGTCTCGTCGTGCCATGGTGACCCCTGAACCCGGCCCTGAGACAGTGCCGGCCTCTCTGGTCTGGCTCTGGAGCGGAGAGGTGAGAGATCATTCAGTAAAGGAGAGGTTAAGCCCACAGAACAGAGGTCAGGGATAACTAGATACAGTACAGCATTAACTCCCCAGACTCAAGTACAGCTTGTTTGCACACTGGAGCATACCAATATAACTGTGACCTCAAGGTGGTATATCTTTGCTTACAGCTGGGTCCACTGCAAAAAAGCAAATAGCAAATTCTGCGTCTCCTCCTGTGCGAGCAGCACCTCTCAACCAGTTGCCTTCACAGTCCCGCATGGGCACAAAACCACACACAAGGCAACATTCAACAACCATAGATGAATGCAATGCTTAAGCTCTGTGCTGTCACTGCTTGAACAAACTCGAACACAAAGCAATGCTCTCTGCAGGGCTGGCGCAGTGCTAAAACAAAGTGAAGAGAAAGATCTGGCAGCGCAGAGCAAACCAATATTTAACCAGGCTCGTCCACTGAGAGGGCGCTCTTATTTATAGCAACGTCCACGAGTAGCAGTTGTAGGGAAAGAGTTGACGTCCAAACACACATTTAAACCTGGAGGCGCCTTTTACTGTGGATGGACTGCTGCTCTGATTGAAAGAGGGTTTGATGTGCTTTGATCTGAGATCTCCCACCAAACGTTTCTAACCTGGTCCAGGAACTGCAACCAATCCAAACTTTGGTAATTCCCTTACAATTAGATTTAGGAAAACTCCACCTTAAGACTCCTGTTATCAAAACAATCTTTCAGAGATTGGTAATTTAATTTAGGTTTGTGTTGGATGTACTTTCCTGTAAGTTCTCCTTCAACTGGTGGTTTCCTTGGTTGATTTCACACCTGCAGTTTGGTTCATTTGGTCCAGACCAAAAGGAAATACGGTACATTGTTGCATTTTAGCTCCGGTCACACTGACGAACCAGGAGCTGTAAACATGAAGTTATACAGACTGACAGGTGAATCATTGATTGATAGACAGTACTGCCATCCTGCATCATCAGGACCAACGTGGGGAAGGACGAGGCGTCTTGTACCGCAATGACGGGTACTATTGTGTACTATGTCACACACTTTGTAATTGACTAACCAAAGTAAACAGAGACACATACCACAGTTTGAACTGCTTTTGACTGTCTGATTGATCAGGTCACACTCCCACACTCATGCTGATACCAAACTATTTCCATAAATATATACACGGCTGACACAGATCGATTATAAGATTATTTCCTGAACACTTCACAATCAGCAGATAGATTTATTAGCAGTTTAGCTTTTGAAATTGTGTAGACACTGAACTAGTGTCTCAGTGTACTAGTTCTGAAACAAATGTCTACAAATGTCTTGTTTTATCCTACCAAGCCTGGAGATACAATTTAAAAACCTAAACCAGAGAAAAACACCAAATCCTCCCATTTGAGAAGCCGAGCTCCGAGAATGTTTAGTATTGTTTCTTGAAAAACAGCTGAAAAGATAAATCAGCTAACAAAATAGTTGCTAATCAACTGAACAGTCTGCTGGATGCGTAAATAACCAACTGTTTCCTTACAAGTTCACCATATCAACTTTGTAAGGGAAAAATGTCAGTATTGTGTTTACAGCTTGTTGAACTGCCTTGTGGCCAAAACATCAATTAAAGCAGGTTTAAGCTGAGGATAGAGGAGCATTTCAACAACAACTCCGACCCCCTGGCGAATGTGGCAAGGCATCCAGGCCATCACAGACTACAAGCTGACCAACGCAACCACACCAACCGGCGACGCCTCCTTGTCAGATGAGTTCAATAACTTCTATGCTCACTTTGACAGGGAGAACCAGGAGGTGGCGATCAAGGCTGCGCTCCCTGCAGACCACCAACCCCTCACACTTTCCACCATCGCCGTGTGTGCTGCTCTGAGCAAGACTAATGCACGTAAGGGTAAGGCTGCTGGTCCTGATGGCATCCCTAGACGTGTGCTCAGGGCCTGTGCTGGACAGCCGACTGAGGTCCTGACTGACCTCTTCAACCTGTCACTGGCCCAAGCAGTTGTCCCTATGTGCTTCAAAACCACATCCATCGTGCCGTTGCCCAAACACTCAACTGCAGCGAGCCTCAATGACTTCCGCCCTGTTGCACTCACCCCTACCATCATGAAGTGCTTCGAGAGGCTGGTCCTGGCACACCTCAAAAACAGCCTCAACACCCACACTGGACCCCCTCCAATTCGCCTACCACCAGAACAGGAGGACAGAAGACGCCATCTCTACAGCGCTACACTCTGCCCTCTCCCACCTGGACAACAGTAACACCTATGTGAGGATGCTGTTCATTGACTTCAGTTCAGCATTCAACACCATCATCCCCTCCAGTCTGATCACCAAACTCAGCAACCTTGGCATCAACACCTCCCTCTGCAACTGGATACTGGACTTTCTAACCAACAGACTCTAATCTGTTCGGTTAGACGACCACACCTCCTCAACCCTAACCCTGAACACCGGTGTCCCACAGGTCTGTGTGCTGAGCCCCCTCCTCTACTCCCTCTTCACCCACGACTGCACACCTGTACATGGTTCCAACACCATCATCAAGTTTACGGACGACACAATGGGGATTGGCCTCATCACTGACACAATGAGTCGGACTACAGGGAGGAGGTCTGGCACCTGGTGACCTGGTGCGCCAACAACAACCTGGCCATCAACTCCAAGAAGGCCAAAGAGATCATTGTGGACTTCAGAAAAAAGAATGGCGGCACACACACCCCCATCCGTATTAACCAAACCGAGGTTGAGCGCGTCTCCAACTTCAAGTTTCTGGGTGTCCACATCTCTGAGGGCCTCTCTTGGACCCTGAACATCTCAACCCTGATCAAGAAGGCTCACCAGCGTATTTTCTTCTTGAGGTAACTCAAGAAAGCCTATCTGTCTCCTCAGATCCTGGTGAACTTCGACCGCTGCACCATCGAGAGCATCCTTACCAACTGCATCACAGTCTGCTATGGAAAGTGCTCGGCCTCGGACCGGAAAACTCTGCAGAGGGTGGTGAAAACTGCCCAGCGAATCCCCGGTTCACCTCTCCCCACCACTGAGGCTGTCCACAGCAAGCGATGTCTTTGGAAGGCACGCAGCATTGCTAGGGACACCTCCCACCCAGGACACAAACTGTTTGCCCTCCTCCCCTTTCGGAGGCGCTACAGGTCTCCCCGTTCCCGAACTAGCATGCTCAGGAAGAGCTTTTTCCCATCAGCCTGCTAAACTCTGGGTCGAGGAGAACCCCCACCCCCCTGAACTCCCACTGAACTGTCTCAATCTCATACTGTAAATATCCTAACTTATTGCAGTATATATCTATTCTGTTAATACTGTTCATAATGTAAACTTGCCAGTATATTCATTCATATATCTATAATGTTGTTACTACTTTTTACTACTTTACATATTTCTGTACATTTGTAAATTACTCTGCACTTCTTGTTTATGCTAACTGCATTTCGTTGTTTTGTACCTGTACTTGCAATGACAATTAAGTTGAATCAAATCAAATCAAATCAAATTAAGGGAAAAGGGGGGGAAAACTAATGTTGGTATAATTACAAAAGATGGTTTAGCCTGTTTATTGTTCATGAATTGAAGGTCAATACATGTTTCACTCCAAACAAAACACTAACATGGCAATCCTGTACCATGACTTTCAGACTGTAAGCCAAGCAGCACTGTTTGTAAATCCCTAGTGCCCACAAGATTACGAAATATTATTCCAACTCAAAGTCTGTACTGTAAATAATTTGTCATAATAAACAGTTTATAGCTTTACTTACATATTACCTATGAGATGCAAACACAACAGGAAATTCAAAGCCACATATAAATGATCTAGTCATTGTGGAAAAACCCCACACTGCAGTTCTTCCAGGGTCGTTCTTGTCAGGTTGATGAGATATTATGCTAATCAGGGTAACAGTTTGAAATCAAAAAGATTACATTAGAGTTAGAAGTGTGTGGCTTTCTATTATACAGAGGGAAAACCCAACATGTGCTATTGCCTGCAATCATACACACGCACAGCATGAGGCAGTGGATCTGAAAACAATTAAGTGTGCTACTGCCACATCCGCATGTTACTCGCCTAACCTGCCAACTCTCTGCTTCGTCTGAAGAATGCTAGCGAGGGGAAGCAGAGTCTGACTCTGCTACACTGTAGCTACATAAAGTTAAAAAAGCACTCATGAGAACAACATGAATCAGCGGGAAGGATTACAAGGAAGAAAGAGAAAAACAAGAAGTGCTGAAATGAAATCACAGCTAGTAGCAAACGTGCTGTAAAAAAAATGAAAACTATTAAAAGAAAACAGGCTGTGTCTCAACAGCAACTCCTCCTCCCTATCCTAAAAAAAGTCTTAATTCTGACTCTGGCATTGATTTTTATAGATACATAAAGCAGTCATATGATCGGGTGATTATGCCGGTCTGTACAGGCCCAACAGATGTGGCCAGTGTATAGTATCTGCTGTTTATACCACTGCTCTTCTGTTGTGATCCCGCTGGAGAAAATCTAATTCAACTGTTTTCCTAAGTAAAGTGACTTGTCATCCAGCTGCTTCGTGTTAAAATAAACTTTTGCAAGTTGACTCAAAATGTTGGAGGAAGAACAGACTGCAGTGTCCGGTGCAGCACTGAAGTCTGTCTTATGTGCAGTGGTGGAAAGTAACAGTACAATGGCTCAAATGTAATTAAATACAACTCTGAGGTACTTGGATTTTACATGTTGGGCTATTTTACACATTTACTCAACTATGGTTGAGAGGGAAATATTGTTCTTTTTATTCCACTACATTTAACTTACAGCCATAGTCACAGGTGGCTTTGACTTAGATATGATGAGCAATATTATGCAATAACCCAATAGTATATAGAGTAGTTCAAAAAATGAGCTCCCCTTTGAGCTAAAATACAGCTAGAGTCACAGTAAAAGTTGTGGGACATAAAACCAAAACAGTGGCCTAAAAGACGCTAAAATGCTCTGTTGAGCTGTTACATATACTCATCTGATTGTAAAGGTTCTGTGTACTACTACAATACTTATTTCTGTTGCACTCCTTCCAGCTTACTAGCACTGTGGCTAATGTTAACCCTACAGAGATGGTGCAGCCTTGAGTGAAAGCTACTGTGTCAAATATACATCTACAGTAGGTGACAGTAGGTCTGGCTAAAAGCTGCCCTGCTGTAGATAATGTGCACGACTGCTCTGGTGTACAGCGAAACCCTGTCATTCCCTTCAGAGCGCTGAGGGAAGGAAAGAGAGTCAGAGAGAGAGCATTTATAACTTCCTGGGGATTCACTGGAGAGACACACACACATGCACACACTCACACACACCACAGAGGGTTGATTTCAGCATAGAGAAATGTGCTGACCTGCACTAAGCAGGAGCCAAGGGCAACAAAACACTAAATACAAACGCTCCTCTCTGAGCCGGGTACTTTCCCTCCACTGCTCGCACATGTTTAAACAGTGTGCCTGTCTGCTTCTGTGGGAGCACATAAGTGTGTGTTTACGTCTGTGTGAAAGAGAAGCACAAAACTCCCAACGTCCTGCTCCTTCACCTTTCTTTTCACGTCTCTCTTTACTTGGCTGGCATTGACAGAGTATCAGTTTCTTTCTTTTCCAACGTCCTGATTCATGTCTAAATAATCCCTCCCCCGCTCTCTGCAGGATAATCCCAGATGTTACAGTAACACAGGGTTCATGAACCACTCAGCTCTCTGCATCACTTGGAAATCCCCTCCTCTCCCTCCCCCTATATTCTCCACCTTTCATTACAAAACATCCAGACGGAGGAACAACGTTTGGTTATAAACAACTACAGTCTTCCTGTCTTCTTCTATCATCAATATTTGGACATTTTATGGTTGACCACTGATTTTGTTGTTAGAGAACAGATGAGTAGAGGAGAGGAGAGGAGTACTTTTCGGCACATTTCAAAACATTTATTGCAGGACAGGAATTTGGCTTATCACCAAAAATAAGGCTGATGGTTCGAACTCCACATCCAGCTCCACTGGCTAGTCATCAAACTGCCATTAACACACATCATCAAAAGGATGTTAATGTTGCATTGATGATATAAAGTGCTGCAACAATTTTGAAATATATAATACAGTAATAAAATAATATCAATGACTTTATATCTAAATGTTTTTTCATTTAATGTTAATTAAAATTTCCATGGAGAAAGTGTTCAGTTGGTAGGAACATCTAATGGACATATTAAACAACGGCAAACACAGCAGCCCATTCACTCCAATGAAAGCTAGACTTTACATACTACACTTAAGCATGCACCCCCTACCACAATGAAACTGCCTTCCAACCAATTAACCCATACAATATAATATTATTAACACAGGATAAAACTACCAGAACCACAATGAAATCCTTTTCGTGGAAACATAACTGTTTTATTTAAGAACGGAAACTCACCCTGTTGTCAAATGCACATGAACAATAACACAGCCCCCTAAACTCTGGCTGTGTGGCTCCCTACCTTGTGCCAGCAGGTGCAGTGTGTGTGGCAGGGTTGGCAGGCAGACAGAGGCAGGTAGGCGGCGCTGGCATCAGGCAGGGAGCAGGCAGCGGGGGACAACGAGGCCACAGGCAGGGACACGGTCTGATGGTGATAGTGGTGGTGTGGCTGAGCGTAACAGACAGCAGCTCGGTCCCCGCTGGGGCCAGCTGCTTGAGCCTCCTCCTCCTCCTCCTCCTCCTCCTCCTCCGCTCACCTGCAACAACCAGCATGTTTGGTCAGATGCCAAAATCAGAAAGGCAGCTGGAGGAAGATGTGACAGTTGTGTCATCACTTGTTCTACCTATCTCTAGTCTGAAAATCACAAGAGACAAAAAGGTCTTTTGCTGTCTTGTATCACCACTTGTTAAACTTTGAACTGATCTCTGAGAAAGGAAGTGCAAAAAGACAGTTACAGATCGGAACTTAGTCTTAAAAGAGTCCAAATGTGACGTAGCCTGTACTGTATCATTAAGATTGAGAGCAAAGATGATGCAAAGGCCCCGGAAAACATATCTGAACATGCGTCATCAGTATTGAAGTGGGAACCCTTCCCTTTGCAACAAACAGATGCACATTTGATGAAGGAAGTATCGTTATTCCTCCAAATAATTTTCAAGCTTTACATGTTATATGGGATATATATTCCCTTTCTTTGCTAAATGTACAGTGTGTTGTTCTGCATTCTGTTTGAAGTCAATTAGAACTCCAAGAAGAGTTATGTGGGAGGGGTAGTGCTGCATAAATAGTACTGTCAACATCAACCACAGATATAGAGCTTATAAAGATCCATTGTATTAAAGCCCCCCCATTAAACCTCCTCCACTCAAAATCAGTGTTTCCTCTTGTACAGTGTGCTGTCTGAATGCTGTCTGTGCAGAGTTTGACACTAGAAGGATGTTTTCACATTCATCTGCTGAAAGTGGAAATTTTTGTACTGATTTTAAGGGGCGGGGCCTACCAGCAGGATTTGTGACATCACAAACAGTCAGTCCTGGTCCAGTATCAACTTGTACAGTGTGATGTAGAAACTTGAATCCACCAGTGCACATCCACTGAGAATGGACTTTACAGTGAAGGAGGAGACATCTTGTGTCCAGAAGTGGAGGGAAACTTTAAAAAGGACTAAAGGATTTACATATTCATAGATTCTGACATTTTTAATTAGGTAGAAGCCTTTTTAGAGTGGATGCCTCTTTAAGGATTTGTGAAAACTATGCTTTTTTGTGGAAGAAACACATCAGACGAATGTTTTACAGCTGGGTTCTCCCAAACAGAAGTCATCTGTAATATAAGTTTCTGAAAACATCAGTCAGAAATCTTTCGTCCAAAGTATTTCTCCTGAGCACTGTGATGATGTTCAGTATGTTTTTGAGCAGTTTAATGGGACCCAGGACAGTTCTTGCTCCAGTCTTTGCCCAAAATGTAGTGGATCCTGGTTATTTTGGTTGTTTCTGGGCTGATACTTTCTCATAATAAATCCAATACAGCCTGATATCATTAGAAACTGCAGCTGTGAGAGCCATGCAATTATAGCTGGTGAAAGATGTATCCCACAATCACAGAAGCTATCAAGATTCAGCTGTAAACAAAATAAGATTGGACATAAATGCTTCTGTCAACAAACAAGAACATCTTTCTAATGTGACCTCAGCTGTGGTCGACATCGTAAACTCAGCTTTCACCTACAAGCATGTCATTTACTTTGTTCACCACTGACTGACACATGACTGAGGCAGCCTGTCATTGACTAAGTCTCACCTGTAATTTTGGTGTTAGACATCATGTCAGTGCGCTGTACTCATCTGTAGCATATTTCCTCTGGCAGGACTGGAATTAGTAGGTGTTTCACCTGCTATAATGACTCTTCTTATCCTCCGAGCAGGTTAAAAGCTCACCTGTGGCCGGGGGCCGGATGGATGAGGGTGGACGCTATGAGAACTCTGAGCACCCCGCACTTGTTAACAACACCTAGCGCTTTGGATTTAGGGGACTCTTTTATCCTAAAGGAGGCACTGTGTCAGAGAGATGTGGATTTGTAGCAGAGTAGCAGTCTGCAGCAGGTTGGCATGCAGTCACCTGCTTCACAACCTCTTTCATCTAACTTCTTGTTCTCACAGTGGGGTTACCGCATGTTCTCGGCCAGCCACCGAGCAAAACTCTCACTAGTTATTGGGTTTTATATATGTCGTTCACACTCATGGGACTAGGTATATATGGGTGTTTTTGGAGCTGCTTTCACTTCCTCTGACAACCTGCATGAGAACACATTTCACCATGTTACACTTCTATCACCTGATACAGCCTGTGCCCATTACATCTGAGTGGAAGAATTTAGTAAAATGGCATTTAACAGATCATCTAAATGTTGAGTAAGTACTATGGTGGTACTCAAATATGTCTTTCCATAAGTTTCTTGACATCTATGTAGAACTTGGCAAGTGATTCCATGTCATACTCTGTGTTGGGTTTTAAAGCACCATTTGCTTGTTTCCAAGTATTTTCTACACTCCACTCAGCTAGCATTCAAATGATTTCAAGGAAGAGGGTCATTTGGTAATAGCCAAATTATTTCAACCACAAGCAAATTAATGTGAAATGATATTTTCTGCGTGCTGACAGCTGCTCCCTCCTCCTGGTGACCCTGTGCAGGTGAGGTGTGAACTTCCACTCTGAGCATCCCTCTCACCTGCAGGATGTCCTGGATCTGGCCGAGCTGCTGTCTCAGCACCTGCTTCTGGTGGAAGCTGAAGGCCGGGTGGTGCGAGGCCATGGTGAACAGTAAGAGAAACTGCTCCTCGGTCCTCCCGTCATTCAGCGCCAGGCCGTAGTTATTGATCACCGTGTCTATGTGAGTCAGGGTCCGGTACAGGACCCCCGCCGCCTCCCTGTTGTCCGAGCCGAGCAGGGCGAGGGACACCAGCAGCTTGCTGCGCACCACCTCGTCCGTGATGTTGGTGAGGCCCGAAAGGTCAGCGGGGTTGTTGGCCTTGATCTCCGCATCCCGGAGGGAGTGGTAGTCCTTGCGCGCCAAGTCCTCCAGGCAGGAGCCGAGGAAGCGGAGCTCGATGGGGACGCAGAGGTCCAGAAGGCCGCACAGGAACTCGGCTCTCTGGGCTGAGGTGAGGGAGGAGAACCAGCGGTACACCCCCTCCCTCTGGACACAGCTCCGGCTCTCCACCATCCTCACACATCCACTCAAAGTGAACTTGAACTTGTTTTGTTTTTTTAGGGACAACAGCTGGAATCAAAATGTCAGACTTTCAACTGACAGAAAACTTCCAAACAAAGGGAGCGCGTGCGTGTGTATGCGTGCGTGCGTGCGTAAATGCGCACGTGAGCAGCACTACTCTCGAGAGCTATTTTGTCAACTTTAACTGAAGTTAGTGACTGTCTGTGTTTGCGGCCGCAGCAGTGGAATAAAAGAGGCAACAGTCGTTTCCTTTGTTGGCGGACCGAGCTGGAGGCCTTTCCGAACCATAATCTCACCAAGTCGCCTCACAAGAAGCCAAAGTGGTCTGGTTTGTGTTCAGCACGCAGCACGGCAGCAAGGAGTCCCTCCGCCGTGTCCCTCTCCGCCGGTCGGACCGCTGTCCCCCTGACGGTCCAGAAACAGCTCTTGCAGAAAGGCAGAGGGGATCAAAACACACCGCCCCATTCAAGGAGACGCTTTTTGATCGGAGCCGCCCCGCTGTCCTGTCCCGCACGGCACAACAATCCCTCCCTGTAGAGTTGGTACTCTGTCCTCATGGTTTTCAACAACTTGTGCGAGGAGCCGTCGGCTGAAGTCCCGACTGCTAGCAAGACTGTGCTGGAGTTAAAGTTCAAAAACAAAACTAGTGTGGCCCGAGGCTGCTGCTGCTGCTGCCGCTGGAAATAACATTATAACATTTCCGAGACATTACCTCATCTAAAAAAGAAACAAACTCACAGATACTGGAGGTTTTGTTCACTGCCCATGAATGAATTCCGTGAAAAATATAGTTGTACGCTCCCTGCATTCTGCCATGAGTCTTGAAATCCAGAAAAAAACAGCTGTGTATAACATTATCCCAACTCTGGCAGCAAGTCCAGCCCACCATGTAGACATTACTGCTCTGATTGGCTGCGAGCTCCGTCGATTTTTCGAGGTCTCTCTTGTGATTGGTTCAGAGGGATATCCGCTGCCCTGCTATTTCACATCTTTTTCTCATGCGCTCATACATATCTCAGCTTGGTCACTGGAGCTTTAAAGTGCCAGATACACGTTGAACTGTAATCTATTTAGTATGACAGTCTCACCAAGAGGGAAGCCATGGTCTATATCCCCCAAGACTAATTAAGTTCCTACTTTTAGTATCGTTAACTTTTTCAGTTTTCAGAAGTAAGCTAGCCTCCTCAGATATGACAGCAACATTACTTTAACTAGAAAAATAAAGTTTACAAAGTGCAATGACAGCCACTACTGACTATATATACACTACAGTTATATAGTATATTTACAGTTAACTCCTCAGTGTGCTACAGTGAAGCCCCTTGATGATGACATTTTGTAGTTCATATCTCGGACCAGAAGATGGCGCCAGAGGTCCATGTTGAAACCTGATGCAGCAGCACACTTGCTGATGGATGTGGTGTTGCATCCAGAATGACACCTGACCATGCTTCATCACAGATGATAAAAACATCGTGATATAACTTGACATTACATGTATTAGCTGTAGTTTCCCCCATCCTGCACTTCTGTGTTCTTCTTCTCTACTTCCTCCTCTTCTCCATCAATACAGCCTCCCTCCATCCTCCCTCTCATTGAGAACATTGGTCTCTAGAGGTAAACCCCGCCCCCCAAGCGCAAGCACCGCCCCTCCGCTGACGGAGGAAAATTCAGTTAAGGTTGCTATAGTAACCGTACCCCTCCCTCTCAACCAGGCATGTACCACTCCCTCTGCATCAGGGATGCTGCCTAACACACAACCCCACTCATGAAAAGTATGAAAACACAACACAGCAACACAAAGAAAGAGACAAAAGCCAAGATTCATTTTCTTTCAAACACTTTCATTATTTTCTCCACATAACTCAAAAACAAAACAGAGTAATTCCCAGAAACAGAAAGAAAGAAAGAAAGAAAGAAAGAAAGAAAGAAAGAAAGAAAGGAGAGTCAAACTATAGAGAGAGAGCTTGGCATGCTGTAGCATGCTGCGGACTAACAGGGTGGTGCAGGGCATCGTCACCAGGCTGATGGCATACAGCAGAGCTTCAGTCTGGGACCCAAATGAAATGAAAATATATTGTTCTGCCTCTCGGGGTGCAGGCACATTAGACTGTACTCTTGTAATAATGTGGGGAAACACCAGAAATGAGCCTACAGCCGAGTTTGAGTTCCTATCCATAGTTTGAGAAACGCTGTCAGACAGAAAATACAACAGCGAGCCTCCCTGCCCCCTGGAAGTTGTTACCGATGGCAACAGGCTCAGCCATCCCATCACGTGGAAGGAGGAGGATGCACACACATGTTCAGACACTCCGATGAGCGTTCATGTGCACACATGCAAACAAACACAGAGGCTGGTCTGCCAGACGGGTTCGAGAGACACACACACCCAGTGTCTTCACTGGACTATAAAAATAGACAAATTGTGACTGGTATTTGTGACTGTACTTTGTCTGTCTGTCATTCAGGGTCTTGGATTGGTGGAGGAGAATCTGAGGAATGGAGGCGGTGAATCCCGACCTCGATCCTTGCCACTGCTTGCTTCTACACTACAACAGACTCGCATCATTTCCTTTCATACAGTTAGTTCTTGTCAGGCTGCTTGGGGAATTACTTTGCTCCACATAGAGGCTTCAATTTGTTTCATTTAACCCAGAAAAGATCAATAACTGTTTTATCTTAGCTTCATGATCAGTGCCAAATAGGCTTCTTCTCCAGACACTGTTCCTATCAAAACTTAACATGTAGCGTGTGCTTCTGACGCTTCTTTCACTTTCAGATTTGACGCACAACTAAGATATTACAGTACATATGCATGCATTGTTGTACTTTTATCAATTTGCGCTACAAAAGCAAGGCAAGTGGCGACTAATATTTTTTTCAGACATCTTGCAAGTATAGTATAAAAGATGTAGTCGTTGTCTTCAGGTTAAGTTTTAAGAGAAGCAGTGGGAGACACTGATTTATCAATGTGATATTGTCTTTAAAGCTGTATTTCTGGTGGTGCACGTTACAAGCTTTGCTTCAGTGAATGCAGTATTGCCTCAAAACACCTCTGCTAGTGGTACAGTAGGCGCAAGGCTTTGCCAAGGACGGTCTGTCTTGAACTACCACCAACTCAGAGGAAGCTCCATCCTCTGACTGGTGTGTGTGGAGGTGGGAGAGAGTAGGAGGGAGAGACGGAGAGAGCACAGCTGTCAGCTGATGCTAGTAGGCTGGATGTGGATGAGCAGTGACTGTGTCCTCATGAGATGCTCTTGTAAAGTTCATGAACAGCGTGAAAGGCCACTGAGCTACTTGGAGACCACATACACACACATACATACATACACACACACACACACACACACACATACATACATACTACACACACATTGCTGGAAAAGACGCTGCAGCTTGATACAAACACGCTCACAAAAACCCATTTACACACATGCACACTGCAAACGTACTGTATATACACTATGCAGAGAAGCACATAAGCCTGCATTCATTTGTTCACACACACACACACACACACACACACACACACACACACACACACACACACACTCCCAGCACGAGATGAAGAATGAGAGGAGACAGACATCAGAGCCTGCATGGATGGATGAGAGGGATGGGGTAAAAGCAATGAGTGTGTGTATGTGAGTGTGTGTGTGTGTGTGTGTGTGTGTGTGTGTGTGTGTGTGTGTGTGTGTGTGTGTGTGTGTGTGTGGACAGGGAGCCATGTATGCAGGAAGCACACACTCGCCAGTCTTAAGACACACACACATGAACACACACCTTGAACCATCAGTAACAACACCTGGGCAGGAAGAGGAACCAAAAGGCAGGAGTTATATAAAGAGGGGTGGAGGGTTACAAAATAAAGAATATATCCATCAACATATTGTACATGAGAGAAAATGTTAATAAATAAATTATAAGTTACAAATCTGTTGAAAACTATGATTTGAAGATGAAAAAGTCTGTCTCGTCAGTCCTGTCTGCAGACAGTGGAAGCAGACATCTCGCTGTAACGCCAGCTGTAGCTCTCATGGCCTGGGGATCAGACCGGTTCAGCCCATTTGAGTCTATATGTGAACTACTGAAGCTCACTTAAGTCCAGTTTCTGGACTATATTATCTCCATGTAGTCCAGTTACCCGGACTGCTTCACCCCTCTTTCGTCCACTTCTTTGGGCTCCACACCTCAGCATCTCTTTCACGAAGACTGGACCAAGCATAGCTGAGGTTAGCCCGGGTCAGCCAACTTTAGCCCAAATGATGGCGGAGCCCTCCTTGGTCCTAGTCTTCCTTCGGCCAGTTGCAGTCCCCTCGCCAGGAACACGAGGGAGCAGCAGATTCGTCGTAATACTCATATGAATTTATAGTTGTTGTAGCATAGATAGGCTGACTCTGAAAGTGGTGCTGTCCTTAAATAAAAAAGTGGATAAACAAAATAGCCACTCCAATGTTGAGCAGAATCACCATGACAACCAGGATAGAGCTGTAGGCCTGCGTGGGAGAGAGAGAACGAGAGAAAAAAGGCTGAGTGATAATAATAAGAACACACACACACACACACACACACACACACACACACACACACACACACACACACACACACACACACACACACACACACACACACACACACAAAGCTCACACACAAGCCTGATTTCATACAGACAGTATATCTAACCTGCTAATCAATGTACACACAGTCATTTATATCCATCCTTTACCTTTTCAAAGCAATGCACAACAACTGAGACACTTTTTATTATTCATATGTCAATATATGCAGAACAAAAAGTGGAACACAAACCAACCAGTTAAGTGTAGGTTGTAAAGTGCTTTGCTTTAACACAGCTTAAAGGACCGAACCACTTTTTTTTTTACATAAAGGTCAACGACTCTCCTCTATTTTATCAATGTATCATATGAAATTGTTGTGATTAAAGGATTTCTGTTGTTGAAATAATTTTATACTTTTAACATCCCGTTCAATGGACCTTGCACAACAGCATGCACATCAATCATCCCACTGCTGTCAGGTGAATTCTGGTAACTGTCACTTCAGCTGGAGGAGGTTCTTTCACTGGGTTAGAAAATCCTCCAGCCCTGGGGTTTATAAAACCTTTTCAAAACATCACAAATGAACTCAAACACATGGGTGTCAAGTTAAATACAATGCTCTGACATTCTGAAGATGCAAGGTTTCCACCTGACGACAGTGATATTGATGCTGGCTTTAGTGCTGCTATAACTGATGACGTTGGAGCTTTTTCTGAGTTAATTTAAGCCACAGTGTGGTTGCTCTTCAAATATGTGGAGAAAACCCACATCCTTTTTCTAACTATTGGGTGTACTCACCAATTAGTTAGAAATGTCTATCTATTTCCTGTAGAAAACAGGAGGAAAAAAAGAGTAGGTAAAACTTTCTTCTGTAGCACTTTATAAAACCAGGGTTACAAAGTGCTACAAAAAAAGCATTTGAATGAATATTTAAGTCAAAGTCAAGTAAACTTGTTAAATAATAACACATTAGGGTAAGCATTACCTGAGATAGTGAACCTGTATGTATGTATTTATGAACAGCTAGTCACAATCAACAGGATGGAGCCAAATTGTGTAACACCTTTTAAGTAATTAGAAATATTTTGAATTGCATCCTAAATTGACAGTTAGTGATGTTGGCATGAAATTAAAAGAGACACAAACTGACAAATAATATACCCCAAAGGTAGCATGTGAGGGGAGAATAAGACAGGTCCCAGGATTGAGCCTTGAGGTTCTCCACAGCTCAGAGGAACTCGTTTCAAGAGCTGCTAACCCACTGCCTCAGACCTAAGATATTACTGGTTTCATTGTATTGGTGATTTCTGAAAGCATGACACAATACAAACAATCACATCAAAAGCAAATGTCAAAAAATGAATAAATTGTAATGGTGTTTAATATTTGCAGTGTATTTTTGACATGAAGTGCCCAGTAGCAATGACAATACATGTGCAATGATGAAGGAGCAATTTGCATCTTAAATAAATGATACAATCAAGTGTTAATCCCACAGGGAAGCCCACCTTCCCTGACAGAGTGAGGTCAGAGGGCAAGCTCTGCTGCAGAACAGCAGCCTGGAGCTGGTGGGGAGTCAGTGTCTTGCTCGATGACACTTCAGCAGATGCTCGGTGACAACCTGGGTCATGTGGGTGAAGGCCAATCTTTCTGACCACCTGTCTACTCTGGGTAAATATGTGAAAGTGAATCTAGTTTAATCACTAACATTATCATTGACGCAGTAGTTTTTATTTTTACTTTACACAGAATCCCTCATAAATAGTTTCTTAAACATTTTACCAGTATTTACATAGAGTGAATTTTGGTCTTATTAAAGGATTTACCAAAAGGGGAGGTGCAGAAGGCCTATGGTTTTAATTAAGTCTACTTCTAAAATAATTTTAACAATAGCTGCAGTGGGAGAGGGAAAATGGGACTCTGTGTAACACTACACACTGATATTAAGCAGCATTAGTGCAACATTGTTGTAAATGAATCTGTCCAGAGTGGCTGCTAACAAGGTTTCTATTGATCAATCCGGTGATAGGCTTATCACAGATCTGTGCCATAGATGATTACCAGACCAGGAAGGTGAAATCTGCTGATAATCAGCAGTTTCTACCTCTATTTAGTATGAAATGTGTGTGTTACGTGTGTGTACAATTATAGTACATATATATTTACAGTTTACAC